CGACTCAGGCGAGGAGGGGGGATGGGTAGTCTCCCTACACGGGCATTGGGTGGTCATCTGCTGGAGGAAGTGGGGAAGGGTAGCCTGAGGTCCTTCCCGGAATGGGCAGCCAGCAACAGAGGATGACCCAGGTGGCGCTGTTTGTTGTAAATAAGCAACTAAACATATTACTGTACATGTGGACATCACTAGATGGCCAAAAAAGAAATCAAATAGACCATATATGTAATTGGAAACAGGAGATGGAGAATCTGTATTCTTTCTTCGAAAACAAGACGAGGATGCAGTAACACCTCCTATCTATTAAGCAGGGAGAAACGTAGAATGGTGTGCTTCTATAAATGCAATATTTAGATAATCTATTTTTTTCTTGATAAGGGATCATTTAAAGTGAATGAGGCATACCTTCCTTCCCCAGACTAAGGATTATGTGAGCCTGATCTGTATGCTGTATCTCTCAAAGTTGTGTCTGCATTATTTGAGAGAGAAAGAAAAAGATGGAGAAAGTCTAAGAATAGACATTTGGGTTCTAAAATCTCCAGGAAGTCCAGTTTTTGTGGTAAGGGACAATTTTCTAGAATTTTTTCATGCAGTCGGTGGCTTCGGCTGTTGGAGAATTCAAGCCACAGTTAAATTTGCTTTCCACGCTCTAGTGCCCCCTCCCCGATGTTAGAGGCAATACCTCTCATGCTGGCTGGGGCTGAGTTCAAAATTTAATGAGAAAGGAAGAACAATTCTTAACCAGTACCCTTGCAAATATGTACACATGTTTTAAAAATACTAAAAAACTTCTGAGGATCTCATTTCAAAGGACAACAAATCTGAGTAATCTATGCAACACCAGAACTACTCATCACTCAGAGAAATGGGATGGGTGTAACATCAGACATAGTCTTAGAGAAATGGATGGGCTGAAGGAAGTGGTTAACAATCTGTCCATATAATTTTATCATGTATGTTAGTCTGACTGGAGAGTGTGGTGCCACGCCAATTTGCTGTATCCAAAGTCATTCATTTGCATTTAGTGGCACTGACATTTCTAGGAATACATGGGAGCGTGTACTTTTTTCTCTGGCATTTCTGGTCATTTTCCTGGGCACAGACTGCTACAGGGTCATTTGCAGGTGTAAATAAAAGCAGGTGCATAGTACTGAGGCAGTGATTTATGCAATGTTTGCTATATTTACATTCTTCACAAGTTTTCCATTTTGCCAAGCTGTACGGTATATTATTCCCCATGCTGCATTTTGGAATGGCAGTGTCTTGTCAGTCACATGCAACTGCTTATATATACTAATGAATACATTGCTACTTCAATAACTTTTCATTTCTTCAAGAAGCTAGTTATAGGATCATAATTCTGAATGATTTCCTGCATTACAGTCCCACCCCCCTTAAGTATATAGAATTTTTAAAACAAATCTGAAGGAAGTCCAACCATGTCCTTGCTGTATTAGATTTTTTTTAATCATAAAGGGATTTTTTTCCTTGTTGGTTAAGAGAACATCCAAGTACTGTATGTGATCCTGTATATACCACCATCTGTTCTAATATTCTGCCATATGTATGGAGCAAGCATGAACAGATTTACAGTATATGAATTTTAGTCAGAAATCCAACATTATACTGTATCATATTATTAGAAGCAATAAATTAATATTAATTAAAAAGTTATTTTCCTAAATTGGGCCAGTTTTTAAAATAGAACATTATGGTGAATGAAAATATTTAAACAGAGTCCCACAAATGCAGGCACTACCTTAAAAAGTGAATCTGATAAAGTGGGCTGTAGTGTAGACAAGCTTCTTTGCCAACAAATTACTTTAGAAGGGGTAACCATGTTAGTCTGTGCTAATATATCAGGCAAAACCAAAAACAGACAAGCTTCTTTGCCAACAAATTACTGTACTTTAGAAGGGGTAACCATGTTAGTCTGTGCTAATATATCAGGCAAAACCAAAAATAAAATAAAATAAAGAAGACAAAGATCTCGTGGCACCCTAAAGAATAACTGCTATATTTAGATGTCTGAAGAAGTGGACTTGTCTGCGAAACCTCACATTAAAATATAGCGGTTTTTATCTTCTTTTTCTTTTGTTTTTGCCAAATTTCTTTAGTCTTCAAGATGCCACATAACACAATGTAATTGTTTTAAGAGATTGTTCTGGCTACTCCTCCACCTCCAATGGTCTTAGAAAAGGCATTCCCTCCTTTTAAATAATTACTGTTGAGGAATTTTATCTCCCCAGTTATCAGAATCACAGGAGGGGAACAAAATCTCATTGCAGTGCTCATTTTTCTCCATCAGAGGCATCCTGCGAATCAAGCGGGAGTCCCAACGAAAAGCGAGAGCCCACCATAGGCGAACTCAGGGAGGGCAATGGGCATAAGCTTTCTTCCCTCTCCTGCACTTCGAAGTAGAGCAATTACGAGGAATCTTTAGCCTTCCAGGTATTACAGGACTACAGCTGCCATGAGCCCTTACCTTAGCCATGTTGTCTCATGGCATTTCTGAGTTAGGTCGAAAATACAGTACTAAAGACCAAAATCTCCTTATTCCTGCTGCAGGGGACAAGAGTGCCTCAACAAAATCAAGTGACATCATCTACTGTAAAATCTTAAGGAACTTCACATTATTATTTGGAACTACAGCTTTTCCTTGTATAAAAAGGTATGGCAGATTTAAACAATTTAATTAGCTAACATTCCTGTAAACTGGCCAGTCATTTTCATGTTACTGAATGGAATCTGGAGATTTAAAAAGCTTCTCAGCCGCTGAAAAGTTTCAAGCGTGATACAAAAATGCATTTTGCTGCTTTTAAAGCCAAATTGTTTTCATGTTACTGAATGGAATCTGGAGATTTAAAAAAAGCTTCTCAGCCGCTGAAAAGTTTCAAGTGTGCTACACAAACGCAACGTATTTCACTGCTTTTAAAGCCAAAGAGGCTGCAATGTGCTATTGCGAATACACATACATACGAACAGAGGACACCAGAATAGCAGACACCAACTCCACCCACCCAGCGGCCACTTTGCGTGCATACGGGTTTTTTTAAAAAAACTTTGGCTAGACTAACACACCAGATTTCCTGGTGCTTGCTGCCCATCGCCCATGCCAGCAAATGTTAGTGTCGGTATGACATAGGAGTTAAAGTAGGATGTGAAATCCTATTAGTAAAACCAAAGAAGAGCCTCGTGGCATCTTAATGATGGAGTTTTATTTGGGGAGGGGGGGAAAAGAGAGAGAAGAAACTGTGGTCCTTTTACACAAAAATCCAAGGACAAGTATGGATTACAGTACATTTCCTCAGATATTTATGTCACAAAAACGTAAGAAATCCTTTATAGTATGTCTTCTTGTGGGGTCACTGATCCATGAAAACAAGAGCAGATCCTCTATTTCATATGATTTTTATATGGGATTCTTAACAAATCACCATCAAATCATATCTCCCATCTATGCCCACAGACTACACCTCAGAAATAATGGATCCTTTGGCACATGGCTTTCTACTAGAACAAAAAACATGGATATGAGGGACAGATCCTTATGATTTTATGCGATTTTTAGATGGGATCCTCTACACCACCATTAGATCATAGATGCTATTTGTGTCCACAGACTACAGTACAGAAATCATCGGTCCTTTTTGTCGTATGGCTTTCAAGTGACACAAAAACACTAATCCAAGGCAAGGATCCTTGGTTTGAGGTTGATCCCATGTAAAATCATGTGTATCCATAAGGATCTCTGCAGTGGATCAATGTTTTTGTGCCACTGCAAATCCATGCACCAAAGAATCTATAATTACTGTTCATAAGGATCTGTGCAGTGGATCCATGTTTTTGTGCCACTGCAAAGCCATGCACCAAAGAATCTATAATTACTGTGTTGTAGTCTGTGGGCACAGATGGGACCTATGATTGGACATTGGCATGGAGATGATCCTATGTAAAAACCATGTGGATCCATGAAGATCTGTGATATGGTTTGGAGCCTATGATTGGACAATGGTATGATCCTATGTAAAAACCATGTGGATCCATGAAGATCTGTGATATGGTTTGGAGTTTTTCGCCACTTGAAAGCCATGTGGAAAAGGACCCATGATTTCCGTTAGATGGGATCTATGATTTGATGGTGATTTGGCAATGGTCACAAGTAGAATTAAGATGAATTCATGACGATCCATTCTTGATCTCGTGGATTCTCCTTTTGCTTTCTTCCCTTTTCGTGCTGGAAAAATTGGATTGCTAAAAAATTGTGGTTATGAGTTGACTTAAAACAAACCTTTGATGTCTCCAGAATTATTATTCGCTATTACAACATATGGCTGAGGGTCCCTTAGGACAGATCTGTGTGTGCATAAATAGTTCTGCATACAGTCTATAGGAACTGTGCCATTGTGTGGAGAGCATTGTGGTAATGAGTTGACTTAAAACAAACCTTTAATGTATCCAGATTTATTATTCGCTAATACTGTACATCATATGGCTGAGGGTCCCTTAGGACAGATCCCCAGGGTTGAACTAATATAACCTTTCCGCAATTGTAGGGCAATAATTGGGGAGGGAGACAGAGAAAACTTTTATAACACTTGCTAACCCGCTCAGGAACCTGTGATTAATCTTATTTAAGGTCCTCCCCATAAACTACAGACATTCTGCATTAAAATCGAACAATGTATTAGAAGCCGTGCACCCCTCTGTCTTTATAGCTCTATGAGTTCCGGTCCTTTTCCTGTCATAGAGATGAGAAAAGATGACAAACTGTCCTTACTACATCTTTTGGTTCCGTTCGCGGGGTCATTTTCCCGGAAGTGTCTGATTTCTGAGTCTGGTTTGCCGTGATGGGTGAGTATTCGTCCTTTAAAACCTCGCGGCTGCCCCATTGGGTGCTGTCCAACCTGAGCGGTGGGTTACCCGTTAAAGGAGTTGATAGGGTTCCGGTGCAAACCTTACAGAAAGTGTATCGGATGAGAATTTACAAATTGTAGTGCGGTTTAAGAGATCTTTTTTTTTGGCTTTTTATTCATTCATCTTTTGCACGCCACTCTCAGCATTTCTTGGAGCAGCTCAAAAGAGGGTACATGCTTTCCTCAAGCTGGCTTGAGTTGTAGTATCTATCTCCATGTGGCAGGTTACACGAGGAGAAAAGTAGCCCAGAAAGATTTAGGGCTGGGTGGAGATTTGAGCCATCATCTGTCCTGTCCATAACTCTTAACACTGCGAAATCACATTGGGACTCCAGAAATTGCATATCAGTTTGAGTTGATAGAAGTGAGTTAGTTGCATAACTCTGAACTCCCAAAAGTTGGTTTCTCCAGGTATCTCATGTGTTGCAGAACTGCAGAATTAAAGGCACTAGCAAAAGGGTTATATCAGCTCTTGGGTCATCTCTCAGTAAAGCCTGCAGATATCTGCTCCTGAAAGTATTCTAGATGTATGAACACGTGAAGTGAAACCAATTAACAGTGGAGCAAGATCATAGAAGAGACTTGGCAGTGCGGTTGCATGTTTTGTAGTCAAAATTGCAATCTTCTGTCTCCCCACATCAGGTTTAAGTATGGAAGCATTTTGCAAAAGTTATATTTACACCAACTCTGAAATAGAGCTTGGAAAAATTACTGTTCCTATATGCTTCTTACGATTTTCCAGGGAACATGGCTATTGCTGGTTAGGGGATTCAGATAATCTTACTGACTATGTTGGTGTGGTGAATTCTGGAGTTGCAGCCTGAGCTACAACTGTGCTCTGAAATCATGCAACACATGCATAATGTAGAGATAGAATTTTGCAGTGTACAACTTCATATTCCAAAAAAAGAAAGAAGTTTTGAGTGCCCACAGAGCCTGAAAGAGAAAGTGCAGAGAGATTTTTACGTGGATACGTTTTCAAACGTATCCCTCTCAGAATTCTAGCGCTTTATTCTACAGAACCTTGTTAGCGTTCTCTGTGTATGTGTCATCTTTGTGTAAATGGCCAATGTGCTGATTTGTCACTTGAAGGCACCACTGGTCATAGTTTCCTGGCCCACGTACATGTGGTGGAAAACACTTAAGCATACAGGTTGCCCACTCAGATTTTCTTTTGAAGAAATGCCTTTCGTGTAGTGATGCAGCTGTTGAATCAGCTCTGAGAACTATCACCAACCAAGAGAATAATAATCAAACTCAATGGAAGTGAACTTCAACAATAGTAGGAGTGAAAAGGCTCTTTGGGCTATTGAGGATAATGGTAGGCACTGACTGTGTAATTGAGCTGATTACTCTGTTAGAGCTTTACTTCCAGATGTAAAAGGTTATTAAATAGTTAATAGGCCATGCGTTTGAGCTTGCAGATCAGACTTACGATATTTGAGCTATTGAATATGGAACTCAGCCAAATAAAATTCTGTTTATTAGCTGGTGTTGGAGTCTCCTGCAAAGGCTGATTCCATTGTATTGTTTGCTGTTGGAAGCAGGCATTCTGAATGTTTAGGTTTTGCCAGATTTAACAAGATGATTGCATTTAAAACTAGACTAAAACTTTTGAATGACACAGTATAAGAAGACTTTGATGGAGTGGATAAAAAAAAATCTTTCTGACCCAGGTTTAGTTGAATGCTGAAAGTATCTACCCTCACTCATGTGACCTCATCCAAGGGATACAGGTTTGGATGTTTTACTTAGTTATCCTATTTTGCTTAACTTTCACTTCAATTAATTATCTTCCATAACTTGAATAGAAGGACTTTCACCCCTACTGTTGTTCATATTTACCTCCATTAGGTTTGAAAATTGCTCAGTTGGCTGATTAGTAGATTTTTTTTGTTTCATGAATGTATTAGTGCTGTAACTTAGAAATGTTAAGCACAATAATGTAAGTGCAATAATTCTCGAAGGCTTTCACAGCCGGGATCTAATGGTTGTTGTGGGTTTTTTCAAAGGACAGGAGTGCTACTCCTGTCCTCTGAAGATGCTGGCCACAGAGACTGGCAAAACGTTAGGAAGAACAACCTTCAGAACATGGCCAAAGACCCCGAAAAACCCACAACAACCATAAGTGCAATAAATGTGCAATAAAAATATGAGTATAGCTTAGGAGGATATTGCTTATGAGCCAAGATGTACTACTTCAAGATTTATTTTTGTTATGAGCTATAAGCTTTGCACTCCAGGAGTTGACTCCTGAAAAAAGCTTGATTCATAGACCACGATCTACTAAGTGATTCTGATGATGGAACTGCTTCAGTCAGTGGAATGACCAGGATGAATCTCTCCCTTTGCAGCTCACACAGCACATCCCAAAACCTGTTTTAAAAAACTGGGAAATCTTCTGTAGCTGGTTTTCAGGTACCAGAGAAGGCAATGGATGGTTGGGCTTGGAGGTGAGGGAAAACATATTATATATCATCCACTATATCTTGAATGTTGGTTGTGGTTTGGTTACGGCAAGGGAAAAATATGATTTTAGACTGGATGTACTTTTAAAAACTAAGTTAAAACTTTTTCTTTCTGCAGGTGTAATTGAGTATATAGCCTGTGCAAGGAGGAGATAAACTCTGGATTGTGCACCGTCCCATCCTATAAACAGTCTTCTTTACAAAAGCAACCTGCTCCATTTCTTCACAATGTGTCTGGATGAAGAATTCCTTTAGCTTTTATAGAAACAAGAATATTTGTGTGGAACACAGTGCCGAATCAACAGTTAATTTTGGACACTGTTCTAATACTCAGGTTTCAATGTTGACACTTACAGCTTTCCTGAAATATGTCTGCACTTGTGAACAGAGCACTGTATCTTTGCCTTAGACGTCAGGGAACACACAATGCTTTTGTCTGTTCATATGTTACTTCAGGGATAGAAAAACCTGCTGCTCATCATGTTACATTCCTCAGGCGATATGGCTCTGAGAGTGGCAAGGTATCTGTATATGTTCAGATATATCTATGGATGTGACTTGCTTTTGTCAGTGTTAACCGCCTTTTATATGAACAGTAATAAAATACTGCAGAAAAATAAGTATAAGATTTAACTTTGTCCAAACCAGCGACATACAGTGGTGCCTCGCTTAACGAGCGCACCGTAAAAAGGAAGAATCTGCATAGCGACACGTTTTTTGCGATCGCTAATGCGATTGCATTGCGACGTTTTGAATGGCAAAACATTGCATTGCGATGATTGGTAAGCATTTCGCTTACTGATCTTTGCATTGCGATGTTCTAAAAACAGCTGATCGGCAGTTCCAAAATGACCGCCGGAAGAAAAAAATGGCCGCCCGCTCTATTTTCGTGCCCTGCCTTCGCTTACTGGGCGGCAAAAATGGCGGCCGGATGGGGGAATCTTCGCATAGCGGTGAGTTTTCGCCCCATAGGAGCGCATTAAACAGCGTTTAATGCGTTCCTGTGGGTTTCCCCCCCCCCGCATAACGACGAATCCAATTAGCGATGTTAATCCTGGAACACATTAACATCACTATGTGGGGCACTACTGTATGTTCATTTGTTGTGTTGTATTCTGAATTTATTTTTTGTCTTATATTCTGAGTTTCCTAATGACATCGGATAGCTGGCTTCTGTTGTGGCTTCACAAGCACCACTGTGAGGGAAATGAAAGTTCTCTAACAACCTAATCCTATGGACATTTATCTGGAACTGAGCCCCGGTAATTTCAGTGGAATCTTTCTTTAAATAATTGCATTTTGCATCTATCAGTTCTGACTTATTTTTCAGGACTGCATGTGAAATGGTCCTTCTTTTACCCATAACTCTGGTCGTTTCCTGCTTTGATTACTGCAGTCTTGGTTCTCTGTTTATTGGGCATTCTGCTGACCATGGGAAACCACTGCTTAGGTCCCTTGAATTTTTTATCACCTTTTGGGCCTCGTACACTTTCTGTTCAAAGCCCTTCATCATTTTTGATCCTCAGCCTCTCTCTCTCACTGCTTATTTCTCTGCCTATAACAGTTATTCCTCCAGCTAAAATGAAAACTGAACAAATGCTGGAAGAGTTCTAAAGACAAGTATATTTTTAAAACCACTTTAATAGATAAGTTGCTCCTAAGGTCTGTCTAAGCCCAGAATCCTGTTTTCAACAATATCCAGAAAATTTTCAGATATCCTACTCATTCTATCACAAGTGGTATTTAGGAGTAAACTGTTTCTCAGTCAAAATCATGGCTCTCTTTAATCTGTGTGCTCAGACTAGTACTGCTTTTCTAGCCTTTTCTAGTATGGAAAGATTTTTCAAGTCTTGCTAACTAGCTTCAATTTCTTAGGTAGTCTGTATATAGATTAAAAGGTATTCTATATTTTTAAGTAGACTAATAAATATATGGTTCATACAGTATTGTGCTATCAGTATGCATTGTACTTTACAGAGTGTGACAGAAAGTGTTTGAGATTGAGCCTGAGTTAGTGTTTGCAAATTGTGTTTCACTGAGCAAGGATTCCTCTCTCTTAATTTTATGTTAGTTGATTACAATATGTTCAATTCAGTTAACATGCCTGTTTCCCCAAAATTAAGACAAGAGTCTTATATTAATTTTTCCTCCAAAAACGCAGTAGGGCTTATTTTCAGGGGATGTTTTATTTTTTTTATGTACAACAATCTATATTTATTCAAATACAATCATGTCATCTTCTGGTTGCTGGACAAGGGTAGAGGGTGGGGTTTCACTTAACTGGGGCTTATTTTTGGGATATGGCTTATATTATGAGCATCCTGAGAAATCATACTAGAGCTTATTTTCAGGTCAGGTCTTATTTTCGGGGAAACAGGATATTTAACCCTGGCATTATATTTAAAAGGCTCTGTATTAGAGAGGCTTTTGGGGTGGGGGGGTGGTTTCTGGAGACATGTTTAAAAATAGAGGATTCTTGCTTTAAAAATAAATTATGGCCTAAATGCATGAATGAGCCCTACTGTGTTCAATGCGACTTATTCTGAAGTAAGTGTACACAGGATTGTCTTAATTTTCATAGCTTGTCTGATTTGCATAAATTATTGCTCAGCCAGTACAACTAGGTAATATTAAAATGGTGAACTTATGTAAGGATCTAGATTATTCATTTTATTTTGAATATTGGAGCAATAAAAATACATTGCATATGTTTATGAAGCTGTAATGACAATATAATTATATTGGCAAATGCGCACATTCCATTGTGTCATTTATCCACTATCATAAGTCAGCTACTGATTCCTGACTTTCCCTTTATGTGTTTTAGGATGTGGTAGATATGTCAGTGTTTCCAGCTGAAAATATCAGAAATTTTAGTATAATAGCTCATGTAGATCATGGCAAAAGTACTCTAGCAGATAGGCTGCTGGAGATAACAGGTGAGATAATTTTACAGTATGCTTTCTTTCTTTTTGTTTCCACTTCATCTGTTTCTGTATTACCTTGTTATGCATGCATGGTGATGTAATGAGGTAGAAGAGCATTGGTTCTTCTGCCTCAGTGGTTCCCAACTTTGGTTTCCCTGGTGTTCTTGGACTGCAATTCCTAAAAGGCTTCACCACTAGCTGTGCTGGCTGGGGTTGCTGGGAGCTGCAGTTCCAAGACTGAGAACCACTGTTCTACGTATCGTCCACACATAACGGTAACACCATTGATCTGGCACAGGAGTGGTCAGTGTGTGGCCCTCCAGGAATTGTTCCAACCCTGATCAGCCCCAGCCAGCGTAATCGGTAGTCATGCGTGTCAAGTTCAGAAGCATGTAGAGCAGGCTTGTCCAACCTGCGGCCCAAGGGCCGCATGCGGCCCAGGTCGGCTCATAATGCGGCCCAGTGCAATTTTTTATTTTTAAAGAAATTCCAAAGTTTCAAGTTACACTGCCAGCGCTTGCGGCCGGAATGCGGCTGGGGCATGTCACAAGAGTAGAGGGGGAGAGAGGGAAGGAAGGAAGGAGTGGGAGGGGAGGGGACAGGGGGGCTGCGTGACTGCATTGCGCTGTCCCCGTCAATAGGTGGACCTCCTCCCAGCTCCACAAAACCACCGGAGTCGAAGCTGGCAGCCTCTGCTGTCTGAGATTGCAGCTGCCGGTAAGCGCGCTTGGAGCAGGGCTGTGGTGGATGGTTAGGGCTGCCCCCCCATGCGGCCCAAACCAAATTTATGTGTGGCCCAAACCAAATTTTCATCTTCTAATGTGACCCAGGGAAGGTGAAAGGTTGGACACCCCTGATGTAGAGGGTCAGAAAGGCTACCCACCTCTGGTTTGGAAGGCAGTTTCCAAATATTTAAAATCCATTGGTAAAATCTAGCACTTTTTCAGTGTTAGTGGCGCATACAATGGGAGATTCCAGAATTTCTCTTTTTAAATGAGAAATTTCATTACAGAAATTTCATTACTGACATTTCATTACAGCTGTTGCTTTGCTGACCTGTTTCTCAAGGAACTACTGTTTGCCTGCATTTAAAAAGTGCATTTTGTCTCATTGACACAGAAAGCGTGAAAATATAAATATCCATATGTCTGCCTTCCAACTTGATAACATTGTGGAGCAAATGTATTTGATGCCTTTCCCTAGGAGTTTTATGTCTAATGTGCTGTTGAATTTTACAACAATTATGCATAACACAGCTTTCTTAATCTCAGTAGATTAGGAAAGCTAGTATATGCAAATTGATATTTTTGTAACCATGTGTGTACATAAAAAATATAACTATATACAGTCACAGAGTTGTATATTCTGTATGTCTTTGAGCATGTAGAAATTTGTGTAAATAGAAGATGGGGAAGGAAGATTATTTTTGCTGTTCTTCTCCCATCAACTGACTTGCTTCTATTTTGGGGGCTAGGAGGATGTTTCAGAATAACATGGTAGGTGTTTTGGGGTGTAAAGGAAAAAGGGAACACCTATGAAAAGTGCCTCCCTTTCAGTTGATGGACGCCTTGGATGGAGGGTAGTGAAATGTTGTGGGATACAACCCATTATCTTCTTACTTAAAGAGTACACAAGTAATCAGATATGTTTTAACTCTTCAGGAACAATTGCTAAAACTGAGCATAATAAACAGGTACTGGATAAACTGCAAGTGGAGCGGGAAAGAGGAATCACTGTTAAAGCACAGACTGCCTCTCTCATTTATAATTATGAAGGAACAAACTACCTCTTAAATCTCATTGATACACCTGTAAGTTAATTATCACAATGGCTAAAATTATCACTTAATTAGGATGTTTGTATTTTTATTGTGGGGCTGGAGCAAAATTAGTTGTCTGCAGTTCTGATTTGCTTTTGTATATGGGTTTGGGCAGAGGTACACTGTTCTAAAATGTAAGCAGCAGAGTATTGTTATGAGTGTAATGGTTAGATCACTTTACAGCCCTACTGAATCCCATCACAGGACTTATTGCTTCAGCATGCTCCTGACATCTAGTGGTGTGCCAGATTGAAATTGGGGAAATAACCACATCTGTTTTTCTATAATGCGTTGTCTTTTTAAAACAAAGTGTATGTGTGTGGGAAACTTCTGCCTAAAGGTTGTAGCTGCATTCTGCTTCAGTGACGTGAGTACACTCCTGGCATGATGCGGCAGCTGCCAGCAGGTGGGGTACCCCTTCTTCTGCCCTTTCACTTAGAGGTAGAACATAAGATCAAAGGGTTATTTTAGCCAATCCTAGTTACGATTAGGTAACTAGTATTCTATCTGTTTCTCTCTTAACATACTGTGAAATCATGCTAAGTCAATACGAAGAGCCCTCAGGGAGTTGCCAGTAGGTTCCGCTGGCTCGGAAAATGTCTTTCATTAACTTGATTCCGGACAGCATCTGTACTATCCCTTAGAAAATGAATTCAAGAAATAGCTGAAAATGAATTCAGATTGTATGCTAAAAATGATTGAGAATATGGAACACCATGACTTTATGACATTTGATTGACAGTATTTTTAACTAGACTAAGCAGTTAAAGAAGTACTATTCTTGATGTTTATGGACCATACTTTTTTCCTCTCCTTTGAATAGGGCCATGTTGATTTTAATTATGAAGTATCAAGATCGTTGTCAGCTTGCCAAGGTGTCCTGCTGGTAGTGGATGCAAATGAGGTAGGGCTTAAACATGTTTTCCTTTGATTTAGAAATAGTAAGGGTAATCTCTGTGTGTTTTGTTCTCAGAACAATGATGAGATGTCCTATTGCAAGTTACAGTGGTGCCCCACAAGACGACTACCTCGCAGCATGAAAAACCTGCTAGACGAATGGGTCTGGCTAGGGTTTTGGTGCCTCGCTAGGTAATCGTCCCTATAGCTGCTTTTCACAAGACGAATGTGGCAGTGGAGATCGCCGCCAGGGCTCTGATGGTGCAGGGGAAGCCATCAGAACCCTGGCGGGGGTGCCCTGAAACCACCTGTGCCTGCTTTAGAGCACTTTGGAGAATTTAAACCTTGCTCTTATTATGTTACCTTATGAAATTTTCCAGCATATAAAACTATCCAAAAAAGTCGTGTATCCCCCAAAATTCACAATTATAGTGATAAGCAGCTTCATTGATCACCTCCAAGCCACTGTTTGGTATCAGAGATCTGAATACACATGCGCCAGTGCATGTTTATAAAATAACTATCCAGGCTTTTCTCTAAACCACTAGGTACAGCACAAGCTGTAGGGTCAGTGGTTCTCAACCTTGGGTCCCCCGGTGTTTTTGGACTACAGCTCCCAGAAGCCCTAGGGTCAGTGGTTCTCAACCTTGCGTCCCCCGGTGTTTTTGGACTACAGGTCCCAGAAGCCTATACCATTAGCTGTGCTGGCCAGGATTTCTAGGAGTTATAGTCCAAGAGCATCTGGGAACCCAAGGTTGAGAACCAATGACCCTAGAGCTTTTGCTGTACCTAGCGGTTTAGGTCTTTCCCTCACAGTTGTTTGTACCACTTCATGAACCACACTGGGGAAAAAAGCACCCTGCAGAAAGTACTCTAGTGGTATCTCACCTGGAACAAGAATACTAAAGAGCATTCTGTGCCCATACAGCAGTTCCAGAGAGAGCCCTTATACATCATATTTGGGTGTGTGCAAGATATAATCCAGAAACATTGCATTCAGACCTGGTTTCACAATGACGTAGCCTGGCTTGTTGTTGGGGATGACCAGTTACACAACCTGTTAAGATCTATTGTCATGTGCACGTTGTGGGAGGAGGGCATTTGATTTCCTTTTGTGTGCTACAGTATTTTGGGGAAACAAAAGAGCATAAACATGACCTTCTAATGTGTAATATATTTTCCCCCTAGGGTATTCAAGCCCAAACTGTAGCAAATTTTTTTCTTGCATTTGAATCACAACTCGCTATAATTCCTGTTATAAATAAGGTAATACCATACTTCATACAGTCTGAATAACTCTTAAATAATGATTTTGGCATAAGTGACATGCCTGTGTTTACAGCCTATGGATTTGTGACAGAGGTGAATGGCAGGAGTTAATGTCCTGACTGTATGTTGTCTCTGTATATTTATATTTCTTTATGGTGACTGTCTTTTTCCACTAGCGTTCACTACAAATGATTGCCACTTCACTTAAAAATATATTATCTTCCTATCTCTTTTTGATTTTTCTTAGTCTTTCTTCTTGTTCTTTATTCTCTGTTCAGCTTAAGTTTCTGGTTAGACCACCTTTTTCTCTTCAGTGATTTAGCTTTGGTCATGGAGGGTGCAGTTCTATACAAATATTGGAGAGTAAGCCCTTTTGAAAGGATGGGGACTTAAGTGCTAAGTAACCATGTACAAGATTGTCCTTCATTTTTTGTTTGGTCTTGTGTTAAGGACTATCAGGCTCTTATTTCCTCTTCCTTTTCTTTTTCCAAACAGCAACAGGATTTTAAATGTGCTTATCCCACCTGTGCTTTGTGATAGGCTTTCTTAAGTTGCTCAAAGTTTTGGTTTAGAAAACTTATGTTTTGCTTTATCCCTCATATTTCCTTTCATACCCAATTTTAGACTGTGAAGGTGTACATGTAGAATTTGTAAAACAATGAAAATAAAGTGCATGCACACAGAACTTCCAAAGATACCTAATGCAGAACTTTTGATTTGCTTCTATAGGAAATATAGTGATGTTGAATTAAAGACTTCCTTCTTCACATTGCTATTCTAAATAAACTGCATCTCCTTGACGGAAGATCACTAAGCTGCTGTCATTCTTAAAAAACACAAAAGCTTCCCAGCTAGCTACTAAATGTTGAGGGGGAAAAAAAGATTGTGTAAATACAATGTACATTTTTTAAAAAAATCATTAGAGAATATGGCCTGAATCCGTCCACCAACTAGAGTGGACAAACAGGCTGAAATCCTGTTTGTGTCAATTCTGTGGCATAAGGTTGATGATGTCATCAACTGGGGCAATATTTTTTGGGAAATAAACATTTCCTTCCCCCACACGGAGGCCTACATGAGTCATTTGATTGCCCAGAACCCATGAGTGATCTGGGGGAGGAGGTTCTTTAATTATGGAAAATTGCTGCTACCAGTAAAGTCATCCTGGTGACAGAGGTTTTTTGGTAATTAAAGATTCTTCCTGGACAGGTGAAAGGAATATTTAATTTCTAAGAATTTAAACAGGATTTTGGTCATTATCTCAGTGAGGCTTACATAGATGTTAGCTCATTGGAAATAAATATTTCCTTCCCCCACACTGAGGCCTACATGAGCCATTTGATTGCCAAGAACCCATAAGTGATGTGGGGGAGGAGGTTCTTTAATTATGGAAAATTGTTGCTACATCCTGGTGACAGAGATTTTTGGTAATTAAAGATTCTTCCCGCCTGTTCTGCATCTCTGGACAGGTGAAAGGAATATTTAATTTCTAAGAATTTAAACAGGATTTTGGTTTATCTCAGTGAGGCTTACATAGATGTTAGCTCATGAGTCAACAACTGGTTTAGTGGATCTATTGGATTTACACCCAGGGTTTGCTTTCTTTATTTTGTGTATAGTTAAGAGTTTATTGCAAACTTCTGTTCTCTTGTGTTTGTTACTTATATTCTTAAAATAACATTGTTTTGTAGATTGATCTAAAGAATGCGAATCCTGAGAGAGTAGAAAATCAAATTGAAAGAGTATTTGATATTCCGAGAAAAGAGTGCATTAGGGTAAGATGTCTTTTTAGGTTTGTAGATTTGTTTTGGCCTGTTGCTGGTAAAAGTCTTTTGCGTGACTTCAATATAATGGGTCCTCTTGTAAGCATGTAGTATATATCTTGTGAGGTTCTAGTATATATCCTCACCGAGCAGTTGGGGAAGCATGGACAGGTGCAAAGCATATGCAGACAGTGTCTCTAGGGATAATAGACAGTCCTATTCTTTCTTTTTGTCTGTGTTTCTGAGTATGAGGTATTCCTATGGAGTGAACTTAAAAAGGTTGCTGTATGTATGTGGTTGCCTCTAATTCATTGCAAAGCATTTTCAGTTATAGTTGGTCATCATAAGATATACAGTACAAATGGAGTGCTTGGCAGTTTAACTAGTGTGTGCTCTTATTGTTGTCTTCAATTAAGAGTGATTTGTATTTTTAACTTCTTTCTAGATTTCTGCTAAGCTTGGAACAAATGTTGAAAAAATACTTCAGGAAGTTATTGAAAGGATCCCTCCGTAAGTTTTATTTTCTGTCATCATTTAGGCCAGTGAAAATTAATATTCATTATAGTTATGCTTAGATTTCTAATTCAGTCAGTTTTTATTTATTAGATTTTTTATTAGATTCATTAGATTTTTTAACCTATTAGAAAGGTAGCTAATAGACAAAATTGAAAAAAAGAGAAACAATTAAAATCATAATAGTAATCAGTTGTCACTGAAACAGTTTAAAAAGCCAGAGTAAAAAGCTACGGCTCTGTATCCTTCCTTGAACCAAAAAGAATTATACTTTTTCTTTGAAATTGGAACTGGATGTTCATTTCCTTTAATAATTTCTGTAATCCTTGGTCTTAATTTTAAAATATTGCACGTAATGAAAAATAAGTATGTGGAGAGGCATACATATCCCAAAATTGTATGTATCATATGTATGGAGTTTATACTGTATTTATCTTTTCATTCATTATGTGCCATCATTTTGATTCTGACTTAGAGTGACCCTTTTCATGGTTTTCTGTGATTAAAGCACTCAGAAGTGGTTTATCCATTTGTCATTTGGATGATGCTTTAGGGCCATGCATTTTGCTCAAGGCTGCATAGGCTGGCTCATCTCCTGGGAGGCATAGCGTGGAACTGAACTCCTTGTCCTGCACTCAGTTGCCCTAATTCACTGAGCGATTCAGTCATAACTTTCGTTCTTTGCTCTTATTATTGAATTTGATCATTTGAGCAAAATACATAATGTACTAAAAAATAACATGATATGGGGGGGGGCTTTGTTGCAGTGAGATTGGTTGGGTTTCAGGAGACTGCCTGAAACTGTCCAAGACCACTCAGCTTTGACCCCCCCAAAAAACTTGGGGGAGGGGAAAGGACTTTTACTAGGAGAAGGGAAAGTCTGAAGTAACAGAATATGACTGAGAAGGCTGGGGGAGGGGGGAAATCCCTGGATTGGCCTCTCTTTGAAGTAGCATCTGAAGCAGAAATCAAGTGGGTGCCATCCTGGCACAAAGCTGTGAATGCCCCAACGGCAGAGAGCGGGAAAAGTACAGAAGGATTTTGGAAACAATCTTGACCACAGCTTGAAATAAGTGGCTTGCTTTACATATGGAACTCTTAAGGACCTAAACAATGAAGAGAGTGGGTGCAATCTATCAGAGAAAGTGACTAAATTTATATCTGGCCAAACTGGCAAGTAGATCCCCCCCTCCCCAGGATTGACTGGGAGAAATAGAAAGAAGGAGAAAGGGGGGGGGGGCGAAAACAACTTTGCTTCTTTTGTGGCAATAAAACTCGCAGGACAATAGAACTATAAACTACTGATGGATTTAAATCTGTGAAGCAGCCAGAAACAGTCTTGGGAAAAGCCCTTCCCACTGTCAACCATCGCTAACTAGGAAGAAGTCTGGAGAGAGTTTGAATTGTAAATGTTTCTGCCCCAAGACATAAGCTACCATTGTGAATAACTACTGTGGTTACTATCTGCTGGAAAGAAATCCAGATAATACCTCCAATCATGAAACAAGACGTTCTCAAGAATATTCAGAACATTATATTTAATAGACCACACCAGATAAAAACAGAGATGGATCAGCTATTTGAAAACACTAAAGAGGTGGGTTCCACACAAATGGAATTTACAGTGAAGATGGGAAAAATGGGTCATTAAAAAGCTCTGGCTCAATGCGTTTCCACATTTCCACAAAGCCGCCTTCTTTCGTTGAGCCAGAGCTTTTTAACAACCCATTTAAAGAACACAAAATAAAGAGCTTCATTCTGTTTTCTACATCCTGAGGCTTCATCTCTCATAATCTGGACTTCTGTAGATGTACCAGTTCCTTTTGTTTTGTTTTACACTAAAGATGGAGGAAAAAACAGAACTGTGACAGGAAATTAACTTTTTAAAAGCACAGAGGAAAGCAATTTTATTCTTAAACCCCAGAAGGCTTCAGAAGAAAAAGGTGAAGATACAATGGGGTGGAGAGCTAATTCCCTCTCGCTTATGGAGATGTCAGGAGCAGAAGTGCAGCAAATGGTGAACTTTACTATAAAAGAGAGAAGAATTGAGATGATGGGACACATGCTGTGGCAGATGGGACAATACATGGAGTGTATGAAGCTCTTGAGAATGGATGCATGGTCTATAAGATGGAAAATGGAAGACAAAATGATAAGAGGGGCACAAAATATTGGTTAGAATATGGAGATAGAGCAGTGGAAATAAATATTGTTAAATGTAAGAAGGTATTTTGTGGTGAAAGAATATATGATAAAATAATCACTAATGGTTATAAAATTGATTTAGAGCAATAGATATAAACGTGGCAGAATAAGACTAAACCTATAAAATTAGTAATCTTAAAGATAAAAAGAAAGAGAAGGTCCAAAAAAATGGAAGATTAGTAATGATAGTTATCTTGGGAAATTGCTATAACATTTTTCCCCTCCCTTTGTATGATTTTCATTTTTAATATAATTGTATAAGCGGATGTAAGAATACTTTTTGCTCTCTGGAATTTTACCCTTTCCTACCCTTTCCCCCCCTCTCTTTTACCTGGTCCCCCTTTTTGTACCATAACTACTATCCCTATGAAAATTAAGAAAAAAACCAATTAAAAATAAAAACCCTGATACATGATACAGTAAAGCCTGTATATTCTTTCTTAACAGACCCCAGGCTAGCATACACGATCCATTAAGGGCTTTGGTGTTTGACTCTACTTTTGATCAGTTCAGAGGGGTGATTGCTAACATAGCACTGTTTGGTGGAGAGATCCATAAAGGCCAAAAGATAACATCGGCTTACACAAAAAAGATTTATGAAGTTAACGAAGTGGGAATTCTGAGACCTGGTGAGCAGCTAACGCATAAACTGTAAGTGTTTTTGATCGCTTCACCCCATCAAATCTGTTGTGTGTTGTCTTTTCAGATGTGTCAATCCTTTGTTCCTGTCAACACATTTCTCAGCTTTTGTATTTTTTTTAAGTATTTGGGATAAATGCAAAGTACAATCATTTTCTTTCTAAAACCAGAAAGTGGATCTCACTTATGGCATTTAGGCGCTACTTCCAGGTGTCTTATCTTTAAAGTAGACGATTTCAGGCAATAAGAAAATGATTTCTATTAATTTATAAAAGCTGTGTCACAGTTAGGGGAGAAAAAAGATTATACCAATGAGCATGCCAGAAGGGATTTCACACATTTTTGGCAATTGATTCACATTTTTGGCAATTGATAATTTGCACCCAAGTTTCCAAACCCAAGGATTTCTGTGAGGGTTGACATTTGAAACATTTAATGTAGTTTATATTTCAATATAATGCCAATTTTATTTAGATATGCTGGCCAGGTTGGCTATCTTATTGCTGGAATGAAAGAGATTACAGAAGCTCAAATAGGAGATACAATCTATTTACATAACCAACCAGTGGAACTATTTCCTGGATTTAGATCAGCAAAACCAATGGTTTTTGCAGGTAAGATGAAGTTGTTTAAAAGCCAGGAACCAGTTTAATGTATATTAATATTAGCAAAGTGCCGAATCTATTATAAAGTCTTAGTTACTGGAAAATTCCTGCTGTAACTAGAAGCATGATTTTCTTTGGTTCCTGTGGTGGTTTGGGTATGACTGTCCTTCTTGTTAAAGTGCAGAGAGCTATGAGAGCATTTGGAAAGAGGGGACTTGAGGAGAAGATATGTTTTTCAAGAGGAATACAGTGGGATGTGTTCTTGTAGAGTTTAAACATGTGATTGGGCATTAAGCTTTTGATTGATTTTTGTCCTGCTCTTGTAATGCAAGTCTGCTTTAAAAAAGGACAATTGATTGCTTAGAGTGCTCTCATTTTCGGGTACGTGGTGGATTTCTATAAATTATGCTGGGTGATGCATCACTGTCTGTGAAAATTATCATATATTGCAAGAGTGACTTTAAATAAGATGGTCTCTTGATTTGGATTTTGTGTCATGGCAGTGTAGCCTTTCATGGATAAACAGTTTATCAGATTCAATTTTAAGAAACAGTTACCTCACCTCAAAGTGTCTATGAAATATTCCAGATGCTTTATTGCCCTGGAAAGTTGTGACAAATGTATTTAAGGCCGTTATGTGTGAGATGAGATTAAAGATTTGGGATGGAATCCAATTCATTCCTTTTGTGGTGGAACTGCTTCTGTCAGTGGAATCAAGAGGATGCAACCTGTTTTGCAGTGTTGAAAGATCCTTTGGGGCAGATACTTTGGAGTGGATGGAGGCTGTGGTGGTGCAGGAGAGAAGTCCCATGGTAAAAATGGGCTGATTAAAAAGCTGATGTCATTTGTGGGCTACAAATGAAGCAGTTGCAGAAAGAGGTTTTACAATTGGTTGTAAAGAATGTCCTAAATCAGGTGTATGAGGAAATTGATCAACTGCTTTGATCGATCAAAGTTTTTTGTGTATTGACAGGAATGTACCCAGTGGACCAGTCGGAATATAACAACCTGAAAAGTGCTTTAGAAAAATTGAGACTTAACGACTCTAGCGTCTCTCTCCACCGTGATAGTAGCCTTGCCTTGGGAGCAGGATGGAGGTGAGCCTGATTGAATACAATCAACTGTTTTGGCCTTCAACTTTGGGAAGTGTTGATGGATGTGATAATCGCTGCTGCCTTGCAGCCTGGACAATTTCTTGTGATTTTATTTGGCTCAGATGTTTAATGTACTTAGTTTGTATTGAACTGTTGGTAGAAGAACCATTCTTTACCACCGTTGCGTGACTGACATTGTACTTTGATGCCTTTTTAAAAGAATGCAGTGTAAATGTTGTATTTGCAGGTTGGGGTTCCTTGGCCTTTTGCATATGGAAGTTTTTAATCAGCGCTTGGAGCAAGAATACAATGCATCTGTCATTCTGACAGCTCCTACCGTGCCCTATAAGGCGATTCTTTCTTCACAGAAATTGATAAAGGTGATGAAGGACTTTTAAAGTTTAAAGAAACTGTCAAATAAATTATACATTCCACAGAAACTCATTGGGTAAATTGTAGCTGACATTAATTTTTAAAAAAGAATAAATAAAAATAATCAGTGGGTGACATCACTTATGTAGCCTGCTTTGACCTATCATGCTAGGCCAGCGATGGTGACCCTATGGCACATGTGCCAAGGTGGCATGCAGAGCTCTTTCTGCGGGCATGCAAGCAATAAGTAACCGGATCCCTACCCCCCCCCCCCGCGCAGCCAAACCTGTGGAGGTGGCTGCAGCCTCAGTGCTGGTGCTTCGGCAGGCCAGGATCCAGAGCAGCTGGCGCTGGCGGCGGATCCAGAGTGGGGTCTCGAGGCACCTCCGTGCCTGGGATTCCCCCTTCCGCCGCTTCCGGTTCTTCTGCTGCTGCCGCTCACTGCCCGCTGTTTCTTTTTTTTTTTTTTTTAAAGTTTGGGCACTCAGGCCACTGTGCTAGGCCAAGTGCCAAATCACAGTTCTAGACAATTAGGACCAACTTGTGGGCTTATAAACCTACCCCTATCCTACGGCCCAATCTCCCTTGTGCGGTTAGTACTGATTTTGGTTTAACATTATGTCTGAGCTAGTATAGCTGTACTTCCTAGCTTAAACCAGACACTGAAATCTAGCTTCTAATGTTCCTTCTGGTACTTGTTAGACTAGTTACAATGACTTAACCAGTCTAACCAAGTACCAGTTAAGTATACAGATTCAAAAAGTAATCCTAAACAATAGTTAACATTAAGTAGAGAAAGGCCTGGAAAGAACTATGATGCAGGACAAATTTCTGAGATTATGGAACACTCCGGATTGCCAAATGGTGATTTGCTTTTGTATTTCTACCACCTTTGAAGGCATTTAATTACCATATTTTTCTGTGTATAAAACAACACTTTTTCCTAAACTAATTAGAGGAAAAATTGAGGGTTGTTTTACACATGAAAAGCAGCAGCAGGAGACAGAGGCAGAGGAGCAGCCGCCGCACTCAGCCACCTATCGTGGCTGCCCATTGACTCCTGCCTCCACCATCTGATCGCCTCCTCCAGTGCCATTGCTGATGCTTACCTCCAGCTCACGTCGCCGCCTTGTCCCCTGCCCGAAGGAGACTATTGCTGGAGGAGGCTATCTGGCAGCAGCAATCAATGGGCAGCAGCGAGAGGCAGCCGAGCATATCTGCTTCTTTGCCTCAGTCTCCGACTCCTGCTGCGGAGCCCGCAAGTGGCATTGGAGGAGACTGCAGCAGCAGCAGCAGGAGGCAGAGACTGAGGCAAAGAAGCAGCCATGCTCGGCCATGCTGCCCATTGATTGCCGCTGCCAGATCGCCTCCTCCAGCGATCATCTCCTTTGTCTGCTTCTTTGCCTCAGTCTCCGACTCCTGCTGCGGAGCCCGCAAGTGGCATTGGAGGAGACTGCAGCAGCAGCAGCAGGAGGCAGAGACTGAGGCAAAGAAGCAGCCATGCTCGGCCATGCTGCCCATTGATTGCCGCTGCCAGATCGCCTCCTCCAGCGATCATCTCCTTTGGGCAGGGGACAAGGTGGCAATGTGAGCTGGAGTTAAGTCCTGGCAGTCGCACTGGAGGGGGGTGATCGGGTGGTGGAGGCGGCAGCAGCAGGAGACAGAGGTGGAGGAGCAGCTGCGCTGGGCCGCCCCTTGCGGCTGCCCATTGACTGCTCCTCCGGCTCTGACAAGGGTAAAAATTAGAGGGTTGTCTTATACATTGGGGAGCCTTATACACTGAAAAATATGTTGCATTCTTAAAGTGCATCTTCAGTTTTTATTTATTGAATTTTCATAAATATCATGATGCTATAATCCCTATCCTACCAGTAGGAAAAACGTTCATGCTGGCAATCAGTCCACCAGTCATGGCTTCCTCCAGAATACTATAATTTGCAAGGGTCTCAAGCAAGCCAAAACTCAAAACTCAGTTGCTGGTACTGAGCATACTTGAGGGGACGATGACAACCCTTGGGTAGTAGGTCTATTGTGGCTTATGGATGCCTCGCAAAGGCAGGGCATTAAGTCTGATCAGATGTGACACAGATATGTGACCCCTTGTCTTCCATGCGCTCTAGCTGAAAAAAACGAGGATGTGTGTATTTCAAATTACCATTTTATCTCAATCCTTCACAGTTGGGTGTGTGACCAGGCATGTGGCTGAGACACATGCCAGTATCTTGTCAATTAGCTCCAACTAGCCAACAGAAGTTACACAAACCTTATTCAAATACGAGGTGAGGTGTTAATTCAATTCGTGATTCCATCTACAGCATTGAATCAGTACTGAATGGCAAGCCAACATTTGTGTGTTTTGCATTGATCAAATGGGTCTACTCTAGGTGAGACTGCCAGTTGGATTAAGACCTCAGTCCTCACTTCTGAACTTTACTGTGCCCAGGTTTGCTGTCCCCGCAGCATTCCCATTGGTCCTTTAGCTGGTGATGTCGGAGTTTAGCTATAGCCTTGATATCACCTGGAACACTGGGGAGGATGTGCCACTGATACCTGGGTTTGGCTATGGCCTTGATATCACCTGGCCACAGGTTGTGGGATGGGCTGTGCTCCTTAAACTACAGTGGTGCCTCACTTAATGAGCGCCCCGTTTAACGACGAATCCGCATAGCGATGTGGATTTTGCAATCGCAAAAGTGATCGCATTGCAATGTTTTAAATGGTAAAACATCGCTTTGCGATGATCGGTAAGCGTTTCGCTTACTGATTTTTGCATAACGATGTTTTAAAAACAGCTGATCAGCGGGTTCCAAAATGGCTGCCGGGTAAACAAAATGGCCGCTTGCTGTGTTTTTGCGCCATTTCCTCGCTTACTGGGCAGCAAAAATGGCGGCCTTATGGAGGATTTTCGCTTAAAGGTGAGGTTTTTGCCCATAGGAACGCATTAAACGGGTTTTAATGCATTCCTGTGGGCTTTTTATTTCTGCATAGCAACGAATCCGGATAGCGACGATTTTTCCAGAAACGATTATCGTCGCTATGCGGGGCACCACTGTATTTCCTCATTTCTGTCCTAGAACATAGTGAACACTTATTTGGAGTTATTTAGTATAGATAGTCATGATGGACAGACCTCAGCGTTTGGGGAAAAAATACTGAACCTGACCAGCAATTCATACCTACTAAATGTTAATAATAATAGAATATAAAATACTTTTACTGTTTATCTTCTATACTCCTGTATAGTAGATCCTTCAAATCCTACGTTTTGTCAGTTGTCGAGCTTGCCTGGGCTAAGCATTTCCTTTCTTTCAGCCTTATAGGATGTGTTTGTTAGTTATCCCTCTTCTGAAGCCAAGGCTACTATCGGTGGGAGTCCTCCAGGAGGCGACCTGGGCTTCCACCGACACCTGGCCTGGGCTCTACCACCGCTTCCCGGCCAGGATGGGTCCTCGCCTCCAGCCGGGCTCTAGCTCCCAACGTTGGGTCCATCTGTACTGCTCACTTCCCAGCCGGGCTCTGCCTCCCGGAGTCCAGCTGGGAAGTGCACAGCGTGGAGCGGGGAGGCCATTTGAATTTCCCAGGCTCCCGCTGCGGGGTCAGTCCGTGCTGCCCGCTTCCCAGCTGTGCTCCGGGAGGCAGAGCCCAGCTGGAAAGCCAGCAGCACGGAGGGACCCCATGGTGGGAGGCAAACCCTGGCAGGGAGGCCATTTGAATTTCCTGGCCCCTGCCTCCCGGGGCTGACTCCGTCCCTGCTCCCCAGATGGGAAACAAGCAATGGGGGCGGAGCCAGTGCTGGGAGGCAGGAGCCCAGGAAATTCAAATGCCCTCCTGGCCAGGCTCTGCCTCCTGGCGCTGGCTCCGTCCCCGCTGCTTGTTTCCCAGCTGGACAGCAGGGACGGAGCCAGCGCTGGAAGGCAGAACCCAGCCGGGAAGCAAGCAGAACGGACGGACCCAATGTCGGGAGTGAGAGCCCATCCGGGAGGCGAGGACCCATCCTGGATCCTGGCCGGAAAGCAAGCAGTGGGGACGGAGCCAGCGCCGGGAGCCAGAGCCCGGCTGGGTTGGGTCCTTGCCTCCCAGCCCCACCGCCACTGCCGCATCCCTTTGCCGAACTGTTGGGGTGAAAGAGCTACAAAGAAGCAGCCTCTTTGCCACCAATGGTTAGTATATTTGAATTTCCAGCCCCTTTTCCCTGCCTTTTTCCATTCGTAAGCGAAAGCTCCGTTTGCAAGTCAAAGCAAAATTTTGCGAACGGAGCTGTTCATAAGTCAAAATCTTCGTAGGTCAACGCATAAGTCAAGATACCACTGTAGTTTAGATCTAACCCACCCATGAATAAACTTTAGAGCTTGGCCTGTGAGGTTATACATTAATATTCAGGTTGGATATTATTAATTTCTCAGTTTAAAGACAGAGCTAAATCCAATTAGTTCATCCAGGACAGACCAATTGAAACAACTGGGATTTCCATGACTTGATTAACAAAACCCAGTCATGTTATTTGAGCCTAAAACTGAATTTGGCTTTCAGCTATCAGAGGTATAAGACTTGGTGAAGATATCTTACACTAGCCTCAGTTGATTGTCAAACTGCTTATCATTTGTCAGAACCGAAGGGCTGTTCAGAAGGACCTGGTGTACATTGATGATCACAGAGTCATGATGAAGTATCTCTTTCCAATGAATGAAATTGTAGTAGATTTCTATGATACTCTGAAATCCATCTCATCTGGATATGCTAGGTAATGTAATTTTTGTGTTTGAGTGGTTTCCAAAATTCCACAGACTGAGAAAAATACTAAATATCCAGCGGTTTCCAAGATTTCAGGACAGAGATTGCCTTTCTCTTAGCCTCATGACTTGGGAATTGTTGGGGTTCTTGGCCCTGTTGTCATGACAGTGGTGGTCCGGAACAGAATAGGCAAGTTTAAATGTCACTGCTCTCCAGGTATGTTTTGAAAGTCTGGTATTCCTAGACAGATAATTCCTGTCATTTACTATCTGTCCTTTATTTTAAGTCCTCCAGCATACTCTAGTGGAAGCTGTAGGAATACTTCAGAAGAAAGCAGAGAAAAGCCCTCTAAAAGAAATCTCACCTCAAGTATAGAAATTTGAGGAGTAATGACTGCTTGGACCTGTATTTTCATAGCTTTAGTTGAACTAAAGAGTGACTTTAGATCTTGGTCTGTGCTGGAACTGCGAGGTGCTCTGTGGTGGGAAAATCTTCCTAGCATGAATGTATTCATCAGTAATTGGAAAAGAGAACATTTTGCTGAGAACAACTATGGATTTATTTGTTCATTTATTTGAAGAGCTAGTCATGTATTAAAATATCTTCTGAAAAGCTAAATATGAAAATGCTTTGAGCAGTGAATATTTTGTTTACTTTTTCTTGTCTCTTCAGCTTTGACTATGAAGATGCAGGATATCAGACAGCTGATCTTGTCAAAATGGACATACTTTTAAATGGAAATCCTGTAGAAGAGTTGATTACTATTGTGCATCAGTAGGTTGAATAAAAGATTCACTCCTGTTACAGAGAAGAAATAAGAACAAATAATTATATAGCTCTTCTTACAGGTGTACTTCTCGTATTCCGAAGAAACAAGCATTCTCATAAGAAGACTAACAATTAAACAAATATGCTTTGTAATAGTTAGAACTGTAAATGCTTCTGTTTACCATCTTTTACTTGTTATTTGATCCTTTTTAATATGTTTGTACTTACTGTTTTTGGCTTTAAATATTGTCTATGAATGATGTAAACCACCTTGGATCCTTAAGGAGAAAGGGGGGGGGGTTAAGAAATGTTTCAAATAAATAAGTAAAATAAATAAACGAAAATTGCAGAAAGTAGCCAGATATGCTATTTAAGTATGATTTTCTACTTTTGGTTTTACTCCAAGAATTAAACTTTCCCATTTTCATTGCATAGAGATTATTGTTCAGTAGTGTGACTTGTTTCCACTGCATTGCCTTGACTTATTTATTTATTTGGTTAAATTGATAATATAACCTATTTTAACCCTCACCCAGGCAGCCAGATGGCACATTTTTCTACTCCATGTGAAATCTGCATAGAACTAGACCTATGACTTTCATATGCCTTTTTTTCACAGGGACAAACAAATAGAAAATTATTGCAACAAAATTATTTTGCCAGTTAGGTACCTTTTTGCCCCAGCCAATGTAACATATTGGGAAGAGGAAGTGTTCCATGCCATTTTTCAGTGAGCAGTTCAGAAGTAGCAGTGGCCAGTGGCTGTTCTGGTTGTCAGTAGTGTGACCCCTTCATAGAGAGGATGTTAGAATTGGTGGCTTCAGCAGATAAGAAGACTGCTATGCCTAACTCTGTCCTGAACCCGAACTCCTCTGCTGACCTTCAGTACACTGAAATTCCTATGGATCAGAAACTACTCTTGTTCTTTTTTCTCACTTGATAAGATCTAAAACATCCAGTAATAAATTGAGGCTTTATCAAATTGTGATATTTTCTTTTTCCCCATTGTTTTCAGAGACAAAGCATATACAGTTGCTAAATCCATGTGCGAACGTTTAAAAGATGTTATTCCAAGACAACTGTTTGAAATAGTCATTCAAGCAGCTATTGGAAACAAAATAATTTGCAGAGAAACGTAAGTTGTTTATCTTAACTCTCTTTAAAAAGGTAGCTAAACATATTTATTAGGTGATTGCATCTGTGGTTGTTGATGATCCTTCAAATAAGTAGTTTTATCCCTGTTCTGTATAAACCATTACTGAAGTATTAACACTCAAAACGAAATTACAGTCTTTTTAAAAGATAAAACAGAAGAGAAAAAAGTGCATGTGTGAAGCAGTCGTTTCATTTCATGTAATCGTTCATTAATTTTGTCCCCTAATACAAGAGTTCACAAACCAGGTTGCCCTAATGAAAATCTCTGATCAGGGATGGACAACTCATAGCCTATAGGTTGCAGACATCATCTGTTGATTTTTGTGACCACTCAAGGATCCCCCATCTGTTTCCATGGGAAAACAGTGCTTTACCTTTTAAGAGCACCCTCTTAAGAGTGCTTTTTTCAAAGTTTTTGGAAGTAGCAGTGGGTCAGAAGTGGGTCAGTACAGCTCCTTTGCTCACACTATCCTAATCCTACCATTGTACTGAGAGGTTTGGATGGAAGACGTACACAAAGATACTGGACAGAGCAGGACCTTGAATTTGGCCTAAAGGTTCATTAGCAGCCATGGAGGCTTATATAAGATGGATATGTGGTTCAGGTATCTGGTGCTGGTTAGACTGGACAGCTTCATTCCGAATCGCTGGATGTTTTTGAATAGTCTTGAAGGGTTGTCCCAAATGGATGCCATTCGAGAGATTAAAAAAATAATAATGTCCCATTCTGAATTTAAGGAAAGGATTGTTACACTGCCCTGTAACCCCTCTTTGTGTTTATGAAGCGTGGAACGTAAAAGAGTTTTTCTTCTTCTCTATGTGTAATGTAGACATGAAATTGATTTGGGTTCTAGTAGCTTAAAATGTGTGTGTGTAAAATAAACTAGAAATTTATTGACTCACAACTTTTCTTATAAAAATACTAGGGTCTAAATTTAATGTTTAGTCCCAACTCAACATTTGTACAAAACCCACTGATTAAACTAACCTACTCTGTTCCTGATTAAAAATTGAATTTAGATTTAGATTGTATAATGGAATATACTGTATTTGTATTACATCCTCTGGAAAGAGATTAGTTTTGTTTATGCACTGAAACAATAATGCATTTTTTTTCTTTCAGGGTGAAGGCATATAGAAAAAATGTCCTAGCAAAATGTGTAAGTATAACTTTCTTTATTTTGGCAGCCCACCCCCACCCCAAACAATAGTGTAATCATTCCCTTCCTCCTTCTCCAACAGCACAATTACAGAATCAGTGTTTCTCTTACAGTGGGGGGGTGACATCCTTACTATCGGTTGTCCCTCACCCTCCTCCCTCTCATAGGCAGGGATTTCTTAATTTGCTGTATGGGCTCTAGACACCCTCTGTTTGGTAAGGACAACCCAGTACTCCAGTCTGAGTTTTTGCCTCTGCTACATTAAGTGTCAGAATTGATCTCAATTCTTCACGTTTTTCTCATTTCTTCTTCCTCTACCAAACCAAACTGCAAACCACTTCCCATTTACACAGATTTGTTAAGTCAAAGACCTAGACTAGCTTAAGCTTCACACTTAAGCTTAATTGACTGCGAAGTTCTATTAGGATAAGGGTATACTGAGCAAGTGACGTTATGCATCATGTAGGGGCTTTGCCACAAGTTTTGATGCAGCATCTGAGAGAGCACTGCATAGATGGCATAACTGAAAAGCAAAGAAAGCTAGCTCACAAGGCTTCAGTAGTCATAACGCTAGTAAAATTGCAGGGAATATGAAAAAAAAGGTTTCTTTTCTAATACATGAAGACCCATGTCAGCATTACTGTCAGTTTCATCAAGGGACTTAACATCTCAAATGCATATTAAGAATATCTTGAGAAGTTGATAGCTACCCACTGTAGAATTTTCAATGGGGTCATTGAAAATTAAAAAACTCCAGGAGGTTGGATTCGTTCTTTCTCTTCTTTCAAACTATCTACATGGCAAAAGGATAAATAAATCCCACTCTGGCCAGGTGGATTAAGGCCTGTATTTTGCAGTGCTATGAAAGTTCTGGCTCTATCTAAGTGTGTTATGTCTTGTAAAGTTGGAACTGACATATATTGATGTCAATAAGGTTTTCCATGTCTGCCCACTCTTTAATTTCTATGGCTGAATGGGGATTTGAATCAATTTCCTGAGTCCTAGTCCATCACTATTCACCACACCCATTGAGTATCTGGCTTGATGATACCTGTGGAGTATTAGAGCTTACTCAACTGGAAATGGATCCATTTCAGCAGTGTTCAGGACTGGGGCTCCAATAATAAGCATTTGTTGGGCTATGACATGGCAGGTTCCCTCATTTGTGAAGCACTACATACAGAATCATTTTGCACTAGCAGAAGCAACTTCTGGGCACAGGATGTCAGAGCAAGTCGTCTGACAGATAACAATAACTTCAGGAAGCTCCTAGAGCTCAAGATGGAACTTGGCAGCACAAATCTACCCAGGGATGAACTGGAGCTTTGCTACATTTTATAGCAGGGATATTCTCCTACACTGTAGAGTAATACATTGATATGTATCATAATATATTCATTCTCTACAATGGAAGGACATCCTTCCATAACCATTGTTGGCATTGTAGAATGTAAATTAGTGGAAAAGTCATGAGCATTTGTTTTGTTCAGATGGTTATACTGATATTATTCACATCTTGTTTATCTTAAAAATCATACTTTTTTTCCATTCTGTGGCTCAGAAACAAGACTGGAGTGTCCAGGTTATCCTCATGCCCTAGGACATGGGTCCCCACCACTGTCCATGGCTCAGTGCCGGTCCGTGGGCTTTGCCAGGCAGGGCCATGGAGACAGATCCCCCATCCCCCCACAAGCATGGTAGGTGTGGCACACTCATGTACATGCACAGGTGAGCAGGTGCATTCGCAGATGGGTGTGGCATACTCATGTGTGGTTGTGGCACGCATGCGCACCCCTCAGGTGAGCGCCCCCGTGCATGCGTGAGCACACCACACCCACCTGTGAGCACGGGGAGGTGCCCCTGCCCCCCTGTGCACGGACCCCCACTCATGTGAGCACCCCCGTGCATGCGTGTGAGCACACCACACCCACCTGTGAGCGCGGGGAGGTGCCCCTGTGCACGGACCCCCCCCAACTGGTCTGCGGTTCCAAAAAAGGTTGGGGACCAATGCCCTAGGAGACATCTATTAATCATGTGCCGTAAAGTCGGTTATGATTTTACGGCAACCCTGTTCATGGTTTTCCAGGTAAAGAATACTCAGAAGCAGTTGACTGTTCCCTTCTTCTGGGGGGGGGGTGCTCTGGGACTGTGTAGCTTGCCCAAGGCCACACAGGCTGGTTCTACTCACATGATGCATAGTGGGGAATTGAAAGCACCTGGGGCCTACAAAATTCCTTAAGAAATTGTTGCCTGTTAGAGGGAGTGAGAGAGATAATCCATTATAAATATGTCCTCCTTCCATTATAGGAATGAATAAGCTATAGATATACCTGTCTTGTGCACTTATATTGTGAATTCTCATAAGCTATTTCTGTAAGCAAATAAAACTATTGTTTAAGGCTATCTGGCTAGCATGCCCCCTCAAGGCTTCTTACTTTTATGAACTGTATCACTTACTTCACTCAGATGTGAGTTACGATCAGTGCTATAGTTAAATTTGTCTAGAGTACCTGACTGCACAACTGCCACAGTTCTAGATGGATATTTCTATTGTTCAGAGTACTTGCAAAATTTCATTTTGGATTATCTCTGAGGGTTTTCAATGTAGAAAAGTTTCAGTACTGTTCCTATTGTTACCTTCTATGCAGTATTAACAAGAGTTAATTGACTGAAGATCCTCCCCTGGTATCATCTTACACTGCTGTTACTACTCAGTGTTAGGAGACAGCTGCTGAAGGTAGCAGAAGAATACTGAAATCAGATAAAGTAAAAGAAACCACAATCCTTAGTTTGGATGACTCAAACAAGGCTGCTAATTTCACAGCCTTTTGAAGCATATTAACTCATAGGCTTCCTGTCAGTTTGAAGTGACCTGGTGGCTTATGATACAACAGCTTGCAAAATTTTAGGCCTTTACCACAGCCTCCTGCTCAGTATTGTTGACAATACTCTAAAGTCTAAAGAAACTAACATTGTTTTATTCCAAAAAAAAAACAGTATGGAGGAGATATTACACGGAAAATGAAACTTCTGAAGAGGCAAGCAGAAGGAAAGAAGAAATTGCGGAAAATCGGGAATATAGAAGTGCCAAGGGATGCTTTCCTAAGTGTTCTGAAAAGGCAGCCTGACAAATAGTCTGCAGATATGACGCCCACCTATTTAAAAAAAAGTAATAGGCAGTTCACTGATTGCTGGGTGCTGTCTTGTATATATTCCCAATGTATAATACACAGCTCAATGAGTTATCACTAATGCAGTTGTGTTGTTCTTTAGTCGTTGTCACGTCCGACTCTTTGTGACTCCACGGACCAGAGTACGCCAGGCCCTCCTGTCTTCCACTGCCTTCCGGAGTTGGGTCAAATTCATTCTGGTAGCTTCAATGACACTGTCCAACCATCTCCTCCTCTGTTGTCCCCTTTTCCTCTTGCCTTCACACTTTCCCAACATCAGGGTCTTTTCCAGGAAGTCTTTACCTCTCATGAGATGGCCAAAGTATTAAAGCCTCAGCTTCAGGATCTGTCCTTCCAGTGAGCACTCAGGGTTGATTTCCTTTAGAATGGATAGGTTTGTTCTCTTTGCAGTCCAGGGGACTCTCAAAAGAGTCTCCTCCAGCAACACAATTCAAAAACATCCATTCTTCAGTGATCAACCTTCTTTATGGTCTAGCTCTCACTTCCATACATCGCTACTGGAAAAACCATAGCTTTGACTATGTGGACCTTTGTTGGCAAGGTGATGTCTCTGCTTTTTAAGATGCTGTCTAGGTTTGTCATTGCTTTCCTCCCAAGCAGCAGGCACCTTTTAATTTCATGGCTGCTGTTACCATTTGCAGTGATCATGGATCAAGAAAGTAAAATCTGTCACTGCCTCCATATCTCCCCCTTCTATTTGCCAGGAGGTGATGGGACTAGTGGCCACAATCATAGTTTTTTGGATGTTGAGCTTCAGACAATTTTTTGCATTCTCCTCTTTCACCTTCATTAAGAGGTTCTTTAATTCCTCCTCACTTTTTGCCATCAGAGTTGTTTTTGCATGATGTATTCTGCATAGAAGTTAAATAAGCAGGGAGACAATATACACCCTCATCGTACTCCTTTCCCAATTTTGAACCAGTCAGTTGTTCCATATTCAATTCTGTTGCTTTCTGTCCCACATATACTGTAGATTTCTCGGGAGATAGAGAAGGTGGTCAGGCACTCCCATTTCTTTAAGAACTTGCCAGTTTGATGTGGTCCACACAGTCAGAGTCTTTTGCATAGTCAGTGAAGCAGAACTAGATGTTTTTCTGGAACTCTCTGGCTTTCTCTATAATCCAGTGCATGTTAGCAATTTGGTCTCTAGTTCCTCTGCCCCTTCGAAATCCAGCTTGTACTTCTGGAAGTTCTCGGTCCACATGCTGCTGAAGCCTACCTTGTAGGATTTTGAGCATAACCTTGCTAGCGTGTGAAATGAGTGCAAATGTATATTTTGATAAAGATTTTTTTAAAAAATGTGTGATGGTAGATGATATGATTGACTAGAAAGTTTGTAACTCTTCAATGAAGCATTCTGGCTTATGATTAATCCTGTAGTGTCATCATGATTCTGATGGACTCGTTACTTTCTATACATAAGCATTGCTGAGAAGTTGCTTGCCTGCTTGTGTTTAAAATTCTCTTTAACATCTTACATACTATGGGATATAAATCAAATTATTTATTTATGGCATATTAATCACATTGTCCATCTATTCGTTTATATGTATGCGCAACAGCTTTCAGAGGTAAAAATATATTTGAATTTAATTTCATTCATGTAGAATAAGTAAAACATGTTCAAATGAAGAAATTTTCATTTCTAGAAGGGCATTCGTTAGGGGGCAGATCTAAATTCACCATCAGACTGCCATTCCATTTAGAAAAAAAAACCTGATGCATCAACAGCCCTTTCACTGCTTTTCATTTTCTCATTATTTAGTATGTCTGTGCCAATTACACATGAATACATGTAGTCTAATATGCTGTTATTTCCTGCAACCTGTGGACCTAGTGTAATTGTTCAGATGTTCAGGATGTCGTCTTCATGATCATACAACTTTTCTTTTTGCCTTCCTAAGCTTCTGGATGCTATCCACTAGTTGGTTTTCTCATTCAGAAACAGGAAGGGCAAAGAGGAACTCGGGGACTCTGTAGAGAGCAAATATAGCATACAGACTGGCACACATTCCTTTTGATTTTCAGAGAACTCTTTCTGGTTCATATCACACCAATTAACTCCTTCTGTTCCAGAGATTGGAGTGTAGCAGCTGCACACCTTTTAATTCTATCCTAGAATCCCCAGTGTACTCAATAAAAATCAGTGGTATAGATCCAGAAAGGGTGATTTCTGCAAAATCTCTCCCCCCCCCAAACCAATCAATCTTGGGCAGTAAGTGCAAGAATTAAGAGGAATGTACTAATGAACCCAAAGTTTGTTTGCAGACATTTAAAGGATAGCACATAGCAAAGAGCTCTACAGAAAACTCCTCTCAGCGCAACTAACAGCAGCTAGATATGGAATCACCTTCCCCCTCCCCTGCTCTGAAGTCACCAAGTGTAAAAAAAGTAGTCCTGGTGACACTGTTTGCGATCTGTTCCAACCTTAGAACTCTGAAGTGGGGCGAGCATATAGTAGCTCTCCAAATGCTATCGGACTGTAATTTCTAGGAGCCCTAGACTATGTTGCAGAATGGGAACTGCAGTCCAGTCCCAGCTGCATGGCTACAAATTACCCACCTTTTCTATGATGAAAGGCCCAGGATCCTGTTTGCCATGAGTACAGCTCTGGGAATGTCCAGCTTGCTCTTTCACAAGCCAGAGATCACCCCACTTAATTCCAGCGGGGCTTACACTCATGCATGGAAGTACTGTACCAGATACCTCCTTGGATGAACTCTGGATAAGCTCCACTACTACACAGATAATGGAGTCTTCCTGAAAAGGATTAAGTTTGCATCAGCTGTATCACATCCACGGTCTATAGTGCATCTTCAGTTTTGTCTGCACAGGCAAAATCCAGGACACTCTAAATCCAGTACGTGCATGCACATGGCAGCATGGCTATGTAGAGCCTTCAACTGGTTTTAAATTAATACCAGTGTCTCTGCTTCATGAGTAAAAATACAAATTTCCAATCTAACACTGGCTTTATTTGCTTTAGAAGCAGTATACTGATAGCGGAGACTCCACTGCAGAATCACAATATAGCCAACCTGCAAAAATGGTAGAAAAATTTGATATTACCTCACACAGTGTTTTTCAAATGAGCTAGTTTGCACACTCAGCTGCACATATTCAGCATGTGGCATAACTTCCAGCTGCTAAAATCAACCACCGCTTTCACTTGCTAGGCAGTATTTATTCAAACAGGTGCCCTCCAAAGCGTCCTCCATTTCCTGTTGGAGAGCCTTGAACTGGAAGCGCCAGGCAGAGAAGCTACTGTCTTCAGCATGCAAGACATGTATTCAGCTACTGGGCTCAGGGTGATTGTCCAGTTATGAAGTGATACATGTGGGAAAGCAGCCCTTCATTCCTGCTAGAAGGAAAACATCAAAAAATCTTGTGTCTCTCCCACACGAGGCTAGAACAACACTGAAAAGAAAAAGGTCCGTTTTGACTTTTGTGCGGTCAAGACTGATAGGTTAGCTTCTCTTGGGTGATCGAGTATACTTCTTGCCTTCTAGAAACTAAACAGACGACATGAATGGCACCGTCAAACCAGCCAACCCATAACCAGCCTGGATAATCAAATATTTCTTTCAATCCAGCTGACTTTGGAGAAATACAATTTCAGTGAAGAAAAACACCCATGTCAGGATTCATTAAACCATTATAGGACTGTTGTTCTTGACACTTAGTGCAATGACAATTCACAGGCATTCAATGGGTGAAGGACCTGCCTCCGCCTTTGCAGATTAACTACAGTTAAGCATCTAAAAGAATTTGAATCATTTAACAACAGCAACAAAAAAGATTTCTAAAGCAAACACACGCATACACACTTACTGCAAACTTCATTTTCAAAAGTGAAAAGATTCCTTGATGTTTGTAAAACACTGGAATGGCTACTCCCTCGGGGAAAAAAAGTACTGAAATGGTCACTTGTACGGTGTTTGAGTGTAAAACACTGGAATGGCTACTTCCTCTGAAAAAAAAGTACTGAAATGGTCACTTGTACGACGGAGTATCTTCAAACACAATGAAAGCAATACCATGCTTCACAGATAACCTAGCGCAGATTCTAAGGCAACCAACTTCAATGGTCCAAGTGCACAAAGGTGTCTGTACGTATTTTGCAGCACCCACTTCAACGTATCGATTCATATGTTTATCGGTTCATTACACAGGCCAAGACAGAACACACCTTAAGACGAAAAGAAAAAATTGTTCTATATTTTGAGTTACACAGTACTTTTCTCTCCCTCTGAACAGCTTGCATATGCCTGCACTCTGAAATCAGAGTTCTTCTTTCCAACAGCATGCAGCATGTAATAGGCACCACCATCTTGACAGGAAAGCAGAGAATAAAGCTTGTAACTGTTAATAGGAATGTGTGTACATCTGACCTCTAGAAAAAATGACAACCCCCAGCTACAGTACTTAGAAGTTCTCCATTTTAGCCCATTTTCAGCATATTGCCCAGCAGTACATTTGTCTGCTAACGAAGATCACTGCTTGTGTCAAAAGTCAGAGTCCAGCATGGATTTCACTGTCAGTTTTGCTCTTTCATACTGTAAAGAGGATCCACAAGTTTGTTGTGCACATGCATTAAACCTTGAGGAAAAGAAAAAATAATGTTAGATAATCTAATATGGGGAAGATATGCCACACTTGGCCTTTACAAGATACTGATTTAAATGCTAATGGTGTAAAAGGCTGTTCCCTCAGTTAAGATCACATACACTGATTTGAGCTTGTGATTTCAGCCACATTATGAGGGGGTGCTGATAAGTACTGAACCTTTCCCAGAAAAAAATGAGGTAGGTTGCTGTAACTGCCACACTATTCTACATATTCCCCCTCAGGAAGTCAACACACTTGCGACATTTGTCCTGCAGCTTCTTAAGTCCCTGCAAATAAAATTCTTCCGACTGCTGCTGTAACCACTCATTTACAGCATTAGTTGCCTCCAGAACACTCCCAAATCATTGTCCCTTTAGGTGTTTTTTGAGTTTGGGGAACAGATAATAGTCAGGAGGAGCCAGATCAGGAGAATAGGGTAGATGGGGCATTACTTGAAAGCCGAAGGAGGTCAGTTTTGCCATTGTTTCGCCTGCAGTGTGTGACAAGATGCTGTCACACAACAGGATGACACCTTTGGAGACCTTTCCCCAATGTTTTTCCTTGATGTTTTGCCTCAACTTCGTCAATAAAGCACAGTAATATTTTACATTGATGGTTGAACACTGTTGGAGGTAGTCCACCAGCAGAACTCCCTTCTTATCCCAAAAAACTGTTGCCATTTGCTTCTGCACCAACCTTTGCACTCGGAACTTCTTTGGCGTGGGGGAACCACTGTGCCTCCATTCCTTAGACTGTTCCTTTGTCTCAGGATCATAACAGTAGATCCATGTCTCATCACCAGTTACCAGTTCGCCCAGGAAATCTAACTCATTTTTTTCAAAATGTTCCAAAATAGCCACCGATGACACCACACGTTTCCTCTCTTGTTCGGTTGTCAAAAGTTTGGGGATCAACTTTGCTGCCAGCTTTCTCATTTCCAAGTCATTTTGGATAATGGCACCAATTCTCTCACGTGATATTCTCAGATATACTGTATAGCAATATTTTGGCTGATATTCGACTGTCCTCCATGATCATGTCATGGATGACTTTCACATTTGCAGGCACAGAGACAGAAACAGGCCTTCCATTGGGTTTCTCACTTTCAACACCAAAATGGCCAATTTTAAAATTGACAACTCAACGTTTAACTGTTGCATATGAAGGGCCACTGTCACCCATAGTTTGTGACATTTCCTCATGGATCTGCTTTGCACCTTTCCCTTGGAGAAACAGGAGAAATGTGATTATAGTCCTATGCTCTTCCACATTGAACTTTTCTGGAGGTGCTGCCATGTTCACTTTGTATCTGAACATGAAAGGTCAGTTAAAATCATAGGTAGTTGATTTTTGCACCATTGAATACAGACAAATTGGCCAATACACCCTGCAATTTATAGCTTCTTAGCTCGTTATTTTTCTGGGAAAGACTCAATACTTATCAGCACCCCCTCGTATAACCAAAAGAATAGAATGAATTTTCTTCCCATTTGTGATTACTTTCCCCACCCACTAAAACAGGGTGTCTGTACAAAATTTTATAGCTGGAAGCTTTCCCAGCATGGATCTTCTGACTGGAAGAAATCTTGAGCTAAAAGTACAGGAGCCATTCCAGCCAAGAGTGGGTGGGGAGAGAGAGAACTGCCATCTGTTAAGAAAAAGTCTGGTGATGCCGCACTTTGGGGTACCAAGAAACTCATGGGTACAAATGGGTTGAAAGCTCCACCTCTATTCTTTCAGAATAACATCCTACAGACCTGTGTTTTGCTTGACTTTTTAGGTGACTCAAAGTATTATATTGCCTAAATTACACGCTAGATAGAGCCTCAGAGAATAAATCATTTGTTTCATGAAGTTTTAAACACTTCTGAAATAATTTGGAAAAGAAGGGCAGAAATGGAAAGATGCCTGTCTAAGTCTAGATAGGCAGCAGAATCAGATGGCAGAACAACCTCTAAATAAGAGACAAAATGGCCACTTCAACTTCACTGCCATACTCTTTACCCAGCAAGATGGGATGATTGTTCTGACCATTGAGATGGACCTCCAAATGAAAGGAGGGAAGGATCCTATAGTTGTAACGGGATAGCTCCCATGCCTTCTTTGCAATGTCAGGAAAACTGAACTGATGGCAACTATGACAGCTTTTGAAGGAACTTTTAAGTTAGCACGGCTAACTTCATCCAAGAGACTATCAGCACAATTTGTACTGTCACCTGTTCAATGTATGATTGAGAGGAACAGACGGCTTGCATTTCTCAAGCAGCTGTGGAAAAGAACTATATAGGCTTAAAAGAAAACCCCTTTGTCCTCTCTTAAAGCAAAAGGATTTTTCAGGGGACCAGTTTACATAATGAACTGAGACTTGAGGGCTGAATTACCAAATGGAAGATTCATGTCTAAACTAATACAGTGCCTGATTGGCGCTGGGTCTAAGAGGCTCCCTGAGGCTTGCCTAGCATGGAAAAAGCCTCTGAGACCCAGCGCCGATCAGCTGAGAAGCAGGGAGAGCAGGAGCAGAGACGCCCACAAAATGGCTGCTGATTCCCTGCTGGTTGCCGACTCTCAGCTGTTTGGCACTCTTTTTCTGGCTGTTCCGGGGCTACAAAGGCACTATGAGGAGCGGGGCTCAGCCTATTGTACCTGGTAAGTGACTTTTTGCTGACTTTTTTTGGTTTCTGACCTTTCCCCCCCCTAGGAACACATTATTTAAATTCCAACGCATTCCTATGAGAAAACGCGCTTCGCAAAATGAAATTTTCACTAGACAGCATTAACCACGGAACGGATTAATTTCATCTTGCGAGGCACCACTGTATTTTGCTCCTCACAACATAATGCTCACCTTTAAAATATTTGACTGTTTTAACTCTCAGTTCTAAGGTAGCATCTTCATCACATACAAAGATGGTGTGAGGATGTTGCTGGAAAGCAGAGACTGTCCACATATGATTGACTCCTTCTTCAATTGCCTTGTACAAGGCAAATGCTTTGTGTGCACCCGTGATGAGAATCATCACCTGTAAGACAGGCAAATTTGACAATGTTATGGTTACCCCAAACTGTTAGGTTGTTAAAAGAAACAGATGGAAATGTCTGCCAAATTGCTTTAGCAGATGCTAAGCTTTTCTCTCCTACGGGTTTGGCTTTATGGCCTTTTAAAGTGATGCCCTTGAAGTCTCTTCTTGCTAAACAGTACAGGGCACATTAAGTTTGGAGGGAAGTGAAATGGGAAAATGATTGATTCTGCTAAATTTGCCTTCAGACAAAAGTACCTGAAAGGACGGCACCCAGAGGCTGCTCTCTCCCTGTGGCAAATTCGTTCATCATACAAAGCACTGCAAGATATTCCTCAGTTCAGCCTCTTCACAGAATTCACTAGAACATTAAATCAGTGGCAATAGACAAAGTAGCTCTCCTTCCATTTGGGTTTTTGCTGGTTCTGTATGTGTGAGCACAATGGGGCAAGCGTCATCTTGATTTGTCAGCCAGTTAAAAAAAATGGGAGGGGCACCTGTCGTTCCATCAATACAAGTTTTCCAGTTTTGGCCACATGACGGCAATAAAACAAAGGTAGCAGAAGCCCCTGCAATGGAGTATTATGAAAATTGTACTGAAATTCTTTTCAATACTCATCCTCCCTAATGAAATTTCCCCCACACAAATTTAACTCTGCATCCTGGGATACGATGGAAAACCTTTGGTTCTCCAAACGTTTTACAAATCGCTCCATCCCTTACCCTGCTGGCTGGGGCTTTTAGGAGTAGAAGTCTAAAATATCTGATGCAGGAGGAATGACATTCTTTTACAGAGATTCTATCCATGTACATGGACACTGTCGTCTGATTCAGTTTAATTGGCACAAAAATATTTTGTGAAAACAAAAATATTCCCTTCCTTTTCTTATTGGTAAAATAACTTTCAAGGATTATGAAGCTATTAAATTGTTGTAGACAAAAGGAGTTCACTTTAACGTTCTTACTTCTCGAGCATCCATCACCGTCCCCACACCAACAGTTAATGCCATAGTTGGCACTTTAGTTAAGTCTCCATCAAAGTATTTTGCATTTGCCAGAATGGTGTCCATGGCCAGCGTCTTCAGTCTTGTTCTGGATACCAAACTTGATCCTGGTTCATTGAAAGCTATGTGACCATCTGGACCAATGCCTTCAAAGAGAACATATTATAAGGTCAGCAAGAATGTGCACTGCTGATCACATTATGCATTGTTTCTACATAACTGAAAATTACTGCCAGGCACCCTAAGCTGTGTACCAAGTGTGATGTAGTGGAGACAGTGACAGATTAGGACTGTGGAAACCAGGGTTCAATTCCACACTTGGCCACAAAGACTCACTAAGGGAGTGGAACTGGTCAAACCTTATGTATCTCACTTACCTTCAAAGCCCTAATAAGGTCCCTATAAATTAGTATGAACTTGATGACACATAATTAACTCTAAGCTGTAGCTGCATGAAATGAGTTGAACTATGACAATACTAATGAGTCAGACTTTACAAGGTCTTACATCAGAATACTGTCTCTGATGTGTGTTTTGCACAAGACATCATCCTAAATATTGAGTAGTCTTAAGCTATGCGTTATAACAAATGCACAGAATGCCTTAGCGTCATATCTAAACATTCACAGCAGATAAAAAACCAAGAGCATCAGAATCTTGTGGGATGGAAATCTGAAAACCACCATGGCTGATATCATCAGCTTTAAGTGACATAACTTTTTGTGTTATGTGTACTATTAGGTCAACTCTGACTTATGGGGACCCTTCAGAGTTTTCTTGGTAGAGAATATTCAGAAGTAATTTACCATTCCCTTCTTCTGAGGGTGCCCCTGAAACTTACCCAAGGCCATACGGGCTGGCTCATAGGAGGCAGTGAGGGATTGAACTTCCAACCTCTGGCTCCACAGCCAGATACCTCACTCAGCTATCCAGACAGCTGGCATAACTTTACACAACTGGATTTCTGCCACTGTGTGTTTTGTGCATATACAAGCTAAAGAACTTATATATGAGAATTAGATGATCTTATGACCACTTCCACTATTTCATTCTTCTAATCTTCCTTGGATCCCTCTAAATAGCAGCATAATCCAGCAATGGCTTGACCACTCAAAGTTTAGAACTTTGCCTCCATTTAATAAAGAATATTTTACCTCCAACAAACAGCTCTATCCCACCAGCTTCCTTTATTTTTTTTTCAAAGGAATCACATTCTGCTTTTAGATCTGGAGCATTTCCATCAAGAATATGAGCATTGTTTGGATCTATATCAATATGTTTAAAAAAGTTATTCCACATATAAGAATGATAGCTCTCTGGATGACTTCTGGGAAGCCCTGGAATAAAACATTGAACAAAGTCTAGTTTATTAGAGTCCCATTGATAGACTGCAAACAACAGTTTGATTCACATGATGTACACTTAACAATACAGATTTATTCTATGTGTACAAAGTGATTTCTGGTCAGTATAAAACACATTAACATGTTTAAAACAGCTTACCCACATATTCATCCATGTTGAATGTCTTCACATATTTGAAAGACAGATCTCCCCTTTTGTGATATTCTATTAATTTCTGGTAGCATCCTAGAGGGGTACTTCCTGCATTAAACAAATTACTTCATTATGATGTGCACCTTAATAGTTACAAGATGCAAATTGGTCACAAATCCAGCTATTATTACATGGATCGGTGATCCCACTTTGTATTTGGTTTCATTTGTTTGCACGCATAGGAAACATTCAGGTTTATTCAGAGGAACCAGTCTCTCACTAGAAATAAACACATTTTTTAAAAAAAAATCTAAGTTTTGTAAAAAAAAATTTCAGCAAGTTCGTATCTGTGAAGCTTTTCCATGTTGGAAAACTGCTCCACGCTATAGCAATTGGAAGAAACACTTAATTTTGTCCTACAAGAAAAGTGTCCCTCTGGGTTTTGTTACACTTGTTTGTGTGGATGACATTTAATGTTACCTTGAGATTGTCTAAATCAGCTGGGAGAAATGAGTCAATCACACAACGAGAAGAGTAACCAGACTGAGGGAGGAAGTGGTGGGGTATGTGCGCAGCCTAGACAGAGGAAGCATTCCACACTACTGAAGAAGCCACAGTTTTCACAGACAGGAGATACAACACTGAGACAGCTCTCTAGATCAGGGGTTCCTAACCTTGGGAAGCCCAGGGGTTCTTTGACCGGAACTGCCAATAACCCCAGCCAGCACAGCTGGCGGTGAAGCCGTCTGATGACATCTGCCAGGTCACAGTTACCATTCTTGTTTAAACTGCTTCTTTAACATGACTCTATTTGTCACTGAGCCCTGGAAGCAGTTCAGACCCACCAAATGATACAGCCGCGCTGCTGGAACAGGAAGTCCCAAACTCACTTTCTCCCGCACTTAACAAAAGAGGAGGCAATATGTTACCTGTTGGTAAGCCAAGAGTGAAATATCTGTTTTCATTTGGCTTGAACTGGATGATGCGATTACAGATGTACTTGGCAGCCCATTCACTAGCCAGGTCGTAGTTGTTGAGTATGACCAGCCTCATCCTTTCGTGAATCAACTCCGCAATCCAACCAAGACCGAAGCTGAGGGGAGAACCAGTCACACATTACAAAAAGGACTTCTTCTAAGCCAGGCAGGGGCCATTTGCAAACCACTTATCCAACAAAGCCCACTGATTCCGCAGCATGGTTTGCCAGGGGTCTGACGGCTTCCCCTCGCTTTTTCACTGGAGGCAGATATCAAAACTAGAAGACATAGCAATCCCTGCTGGTCCACTGTACAGCAGGGGTGCTTTCTGATTGGCTTGGGAGGTCAGGAGCTGCGAGGTGCATTTGACCACTGCCCCTTCTCAAGTGTTAGGGATAGCCTGCTTAGGAAACTTGCCAAGGATCCTGCAAGCATTTTACATACGTGCATGCGTTTGAGCAATCATAATTTGATTTAGAATGGCTAATGTGCTGACAAGGCAGCAATTTGCCAGCTAAGAATTTTGGGTGTGGCAGGAGAGAGGGTTGTTTGTTTTTTTGAGTTCAAGACTAAATAAGCAACACTCTCCTCTAGCTGCAATACACAACATTTCAAAAACTCAATTTTGTTTTTAATTAGTGAGTTTTTCCCCCTTTAATGATGAAGACCATAATCTACACACACAACGTAGTCTAAAACAACAGCATCTGCTGTAGAGAAAGATAATTCAGATGTGATGGCCATTACATGAAACAGTGACTGTACTACTGAACTTTATTTAGTAATAAATTATATTAAAGCCAGTTTGCTCTGTTTACTAGAAATAACTCCCATGGTGTTTAGTGGGGCTTACCTTGTAGCAAATAGTTGATGATGGCATTTGAGAAAGGTTAAGCAATTTAAACAACATTGCTTACTAAACTAATTTAAATTTCTTTAAGAAGACACAAGCTTTGGAGAGACAGAACTCACCAGAAGCTGAAAATCATTTAGTACCTGAGAACCTAACCCATTTTAGGTAAAGGTAAAGGTTTCCCTTGACATTTTTAGTCCAGTCGTGTCCGACTCCAGGGGGCGGTGCTCATCCCATTTTCAGCATATTTTTATGGTCTGTAGGCATCAAAACAACTAAACAGCATAATAAATTATCAAAGTTCGAATATTACTACAAGCAATACCTTGATCTAATAATAAACACAACACAGTGTGTTTGATAATTACCACTCTCTGGAAAAGTATTCTTTTTGATAGTTTTAATTAGAATATTCCTTTGCTTCTTCCTTGAGCCTGTAAGACCATCAAGTCTGCTTCCAAATGGAACAGTCGTTATTTTTTAAATGGCTTTATGATCCATTTTGGACCTAAATATCAGCATATATACATTTCAGCAGAGACAGCTTTTGTCTGTAGTGCTGCTAGAGCTACAAGATGCCTGTTTTGCTCCTCTATCACAGGGGTGGGCAATTAATTTCTATAGAGGGGCCACATGAAAAATCTGAACTGTGTTTAGGGGGCTGAACCAACTTTACTTAAAAATAAAACAGTGATGTTATGATTGTTTTTATTTTAAACTTGTTAATCTTCACAAATACTAAACAGGTTTTTTTGCGGTATGTTAAAGATAAGCAACTGATCAACTTTAGACAAAAAGCTATAAATGGTTTTGATGTCCATCGGGCTGGACAGGAGTGGCTTGCGGGCTGTGCCCAGGTCTGCTCTATCAGGATCTTCCATTTTTCAAACTGCAATTGACTTTAAGTAAATTCTCAAAGGAATAAGGCTGTACAGAAGGGAGACCCATTATGCTCTAAAAACTGAATCAACGGTGGTGGGAACACAGAAAACGCCCTAAGGCCTTCTAAACAACCATGGATAACTTGCTGCCTTCCAGATGTGTTTGAGTGCAGGCAAACGTGTTGTGCAAGATGGGAGTTGTGGTCCACGCTTATTGGGCACGATGGAAGCTGTATTCAAACACATCTGGTGGACACCACTTTGGGACAACGGGGCTCTAACAAGTTCAGGGTTTTCAGGCCACAAGTCGCTCCGCAAACAAGCATAAAACACGACTCCACAAAACAAAAAAACGACCACAGACGGGAAAAAAATAGCACCATCCATTTTGCAAAAAGTGAAATCCGCTCCCCTTGTTTTCACAGTTTATTGCGAAAAGAGAAAGCGAGCCTCCATTAGCTGATTTCATCCACTTCCTCCCCCCCCATCCCCCGACACAGAACTCCTTCTTCCCTTCTCCCTCCCCTTGTTTTCCCTGAGTCACTCACACGCACAGCTCAGCCGGCAAGACTCAACCTCTCACGTTCTCAAATCCAGGTAGACAAGCAGCGACCCAGAGAGCGAAGGCAGAGAAACAAGACCCCCTCCCTCCCTTCCTTCTGGAAGAGGGGGCGTGGCCAAGACTTCCAGGAAAAACACCGGGCAGCTTCAGCTCTCGCTGTATTAACCAGAGCCACAGACGGGAAAGAGGCAGAGACTACGTACCAGAGAAGGGCGGGCCAGCCAGCCGGCGAGGGGCGGGGGGGGGGAAGAAGGCGTCCATTGCGCCTGCGTCCCAGAGGCTATATATACACACACGGAGCGCCTGAGGGCGCCTCTGCGTTTAGTCTGGGTAGTCAGGATTTGGGGTTGTTGGTGTAGAAGTTCTTATCGCTGTTTTTTTTTTTTTTAAAGGAATTGGGGATTTTATTAAGATAGTAATAGCAGCGAGAATTATTTGTGCTGTTCTTTTGTACCTAGGTCGTTTGTTGTGGGAGAGTAAAGAGAATGACCTATGGCGAAAGTGAGGCCTTAGCACTAGTTAGTCTTAGGGGTCCTGGATCATGGCCCTGTCAGGAGAATTCAAGGTTTTGGCAGTATTGGTGCACTTCTATTCTGCGTTCTACCTTTACACAGGCTTTAGAAACGTATAATCTTGGTTATTTTTGTTCTAAATAGTTTTGAATATTAGCAAAATATATGAATTTTGGAGCCCTACATGTCTCTGGATTTTGGGGTTCTTAGTTTTACTACTAATAAGGTTTTTAAATAGGATTTTTAACTGGTACCTATTGATACTTGCTTAATTTTGTGGAATTATTTTCACATGGCCTTTAAAGTTCAGAATGAAAGCAACTGCTAGAATGGGCTAAAGTATGCCAAAACCAGAGGGGTAGGTAAGAGACAAAGGGCAAAATTAATGGACAATATGGAAGTTACAATTTTTTCTACATCCCTTGTAAGCAAGGTTTATATGCCTTCTATTTACAGGCACTCCACTTATCTTTTCTGTTTCTAAAACAGCCTTCTGATATTAAGGAAAGCTGATAACAAGGAAAAGTTATTTTAGGACTGGTAAAAAGTATTAGATTCATGCTATAGTGAGAATTGTTTTCTAATCATTCAAAATTATATTTTAAATGTAAACAAGTATACAAAATGCTAATATATGCAAAAGAATTAAACAAAACCACAATTAACTCTACTACTCCCTACCCTCAGGGCTAGTTTTCATTTTCATTTTTTGCTGTGTTTCATACTGCCCTGTTTTTCTTCAGAAATATATTGTTCCATCTACAGTTGTATATCTTTTCCCTTTCTGGAACACAACAAAACGTGATTCCATTTTTCTTTAACTTTATTAATATTTATTTTTATATTCCATTTATACCCCGTCTATCTGGTCATTGAGACCACTTTAGGCGGCTTACAACATAAAATGTAAAACATACATAACACAATTTACATAATTAGGAAAAAAAAATCTCTCCAAATTACATTTTTACTTGCTATGATTCCTGGAATGTATCTAAACTGATTTGCTCTATAGTATAGTTTAATATTAGGTATGCCTAAAACTTTTCCCTGTTGTAGTATATGCCATAACTTTTTATTAATCCTTGCTCTCATTTCCATTACAGTAGATATTACTCATAGCTATTCTCTTAACTGCTTTTTAGTAATCTTTATAGGTAACATGAAAAAAAACTTTAGAGGGAAATAGTATTCATTTTACATAAAAGTATTCTATCAGACCAAGAAATTCTCAACTTTTGAAACTCGTTTATCTGTTCATTCGTCTGTTTTTTCATCTTATCTAGGTTCAATTTAATAATGTCTTGTAAATCCCAAGTACTATTTTATTGTGAGGATTCTTAGCAATACCAAGTGGTTCAAACTATTAGGACTATTAATAAATAAGCTTGCAGTGTCATAGTCTTCCTTTTTTTGAACGGGTTCTTTGTTTTCTGAGCTGATGATTACAAAACATCAGCTTCTGTGATTTGCTCATGCTGATGTGCCAGTAGTAATAATCTACAATTCAAATCAGAAGAATAGTGTTTTTGAAATTTATTTGATTTCTATACCTCCCATTTGACTGGGTGGTTTACAAGAGCAGAAATAACATAAAGTAGTACAAAGTGAAAATTATAATTAAGTTAATATTAAGATTATAGAAATCCATTTCTACCATAAGCTACATTTCTTTTCATCAGATATGTTGGTTTAATCAAACCATGTCTGGAAAGCAATGGAAAAATACCCATGTATTTGTAACCACAGATTTGCTATTTGAATAGTGTTTTTGCTTTGTGTCGTATTGCAGGCACGTATCCAAAATGCATGTAGCACTTATAGAAAATCCGACTGTATCACAGAGTTCTAACTCCTGTCCTATGAAGATGCAAATGTTAGGAAGAAAAACCTTCAGAACATGGCCAAACAGTCTGAAAAATTTACAACAACCATTGGATCCCTACCGTGAAAGCTTTTGAGAATACATTTACAAAAATATCTTACCACCACCACCAAGACAAAAAAACAAAACCTGAACACACACTAAGAGTTGGTATAAATGAAAAAAAAAGAGATATGTTATTGAGCAATGGCATAAACTACAACTAGTTGTAATCCAGAAAAATAATCTATTCTGGGCCATTGTGGCTGGCTCCTCCAGGATGGAGACACACGATCCTGCCACAATTTCACCACAAAGATGGATCCAACATTTCTCAGACCTTTTCTTCAACAAGGACATTGTTCCTAATGCTCTTCACCAGTAATACAGTAAAATATTATGCCTGTATTTATTTATTTGATTTATATCCCACCCATCTGGCCTGTATGGGATTGTCAGTAGCCTCCAGTATGTATTTCTTTTCCCACTTATCCATAAGTGAAGGATAGAATGTTGAGTCAGCCTTGAGCTGGCTACCTGGGATTGAACCCTGGGTCATGGGCACAGGTTTGGCTGCAGTACAGTTGTTTAACCACTGTGCCATGATGCTCTTTCCATAAAAGTTATTTCCAAAGCTGAAACAATTATTTTCTATGATAAAATATCAGTTAAGTTGAAAGTGGGTGGGGGGCTCCTGTATAATTAAATTGTAAACTGCCCAGAGAGTGCTTGAAGCACTGTGGGGCGGTATATAAGCAGCACGCTTTGCTTACTTTGCTTTGCTTGCTCAGTCACAAGTCTAGTATATCCTGAAGTCCGTCTAGACCACAGCCGAAGCATGCATCCCATCAGTCTTGTTTTGCCCTGCCAGTGGTTCCAGGATCTGGGTGTCTACAGTAACTGGCAGGCAAGTGAACTGGGCATTCTCTGGATTCGGCGCTGGAGCCTTCTCCACTTATCTTTTCTGCCCTGGTGTGAGTGTGGGGCCATGTGGGAGATTCCCTGCTCCTGAGTTGGGCACTGTCTTGTCATAGTTTGAGTCTGTCAGCTGTTGGAGCGGGGTTATGATCTTTGCTCTCCTTCATGTTTCCAATGTGTCTGTTGCAAAACCCCCATCTGGCAGGGGGCAAGGATTAGTGCCCAGTCCTCTCAGGGCCATTCCGTTGCTGTCGCCACCCTCTTGAACGTGTGTAGATATGCTTCAGGGTCATTCTTGGGCTCAGTCTTCTGTACCCTTATGGGAGTGGGTCCTTTGATCCCTGTGTTCTGTGCAACCCACTGATTTTCTTGGGTTCATCTGTCTTATCCCACTTCCTGAGCATTGTTCCCCTCCTTTGGTGTAATTTACTGCATTAAGGTAGAATTCTATTTGCCATCAACGTCTGGTGTTGCAAAATCTGGCATAGCCAGTTGTTCTCGGGGTCCCCTTATCCTAGAACTGCCCCATGTTGGGCACCATTGTGATAGGGTTCCTCTTTAATCTCCCTCGCTTCCATAGAGTGAGCCCCCAGAAAAACGTTTCCATTTTTGGGCCCAGAGTAGCCTAGCTGCTGTGAGTATATACATTATTTATTTTTATTTATTTAATTAATTTATATGTCGCCCACACTACCCAAAGGTCTCTGGGTGGCTTACAACATTTAAACTACAATAAAAAATCAAAACAATTAAAATGCAATTAAAAGATAAACTTTAAAAATTGCCATTGGACCCACAGCTGATATTTTTCAATTAAAAGCCTTCTGGAACAGGAAGGTTTTGACCTGGTGCTGAAATGTCATCAGCGTCGGCACCAGACGAATCTCAGTCAGGAGGGCATTCCATAGTCTGGGGGCAGTTGCCAAAAAGGCCCTCTGTCTACAAGCCGTCCCTCTTACTTCCTTAAGGGACAGCTCTTTCAAAAGGGCCCCCTGGCTAGATCTTAACTTCCGGGTAGGTTCATATGGAAGGAGGCAGTCCTTCAGGTATCCAGGGCCCAAGCCGTTTAGGGCTTTATATGTCAAAACAAGCACTTTGAATTAGGCCCGGGCAGCTGGAAGCCAATGTAACTTAAACAGAATCAGCTTGATATGTTCCCTAGTGGCACCGCCACTTACCAGCTGTGCAGCTCGATTCTGGACCAGTTGCAGGAGCAGAGCCACCGTAAAACAGTGTTCCCAACCCAGCCAGCCTATCCAGAAGGACACCATGGTTGATGGTGTCGAATGCTGCTGAGGAGTCCAGGAGTATCAACAGGGTCACACTCCCCCTGTCTCTCTCCTGGGTCATTGTACAGGGCGCCTAAGGCAGTCTCTGTGCCAAAACCCGGCCTGAAACCCTATTGAAATGGATCCAGAAAATCTGTTTCATCCAACAGCCCCTGGAGTTGCCCAGCCACAACCCACTCCAACACTTTCCCCAAATAAGGGAGGTTCGCTACTGGTTGGTAGTTACCCACCAACCTTGGCTCCAGGTTAGACTTTTAAAGGAGTGGATGAATTACAACCTGTTTCAAGGTGGTAGGGAGCACTCCCTCTCTCAAAGAGGCATTCACGGCCTCCTTGACCCAGGTGCGACCCCCCCTGGCTGATCTTCCAACTAGCCAAGATGGGCAAGGGTCGAGCGGAGTGGTGGTAGAATGGACAGATCCAAGCACCCTGTCCACATCCTCAGGTCTCAACAATTGAAATTCATCCATTAATATTTGACCTAAGCACGGCACACTGGACACATCCTCTGATTCTGCAGTAACTGTGGAGTCCAACCCACTGCGAATCTGAGTGATTTCCCCCTCAAAATGGATGCCAAACTCATCACAGCGAGCTGACGAGC